TCTGCTTTTGTTTTTCCTGATAATCTATGAGTCAGGTGCTTTGCTGGAGTCTTTTGTTTACAAGATCTCATCTAATCTTCTCGATAGCCTTAACCAGGGCTCCTTGGAGAAATGCCTGATTTTAGGGCTGTGACAGGTAAAATACAAGATGAGCCTGGAACCTTACATGTCAAAAATAAAGACATTCTCAGGGAATGATGGAGCTCTATCAAAGACACACAGAAACCAACTTACAGGGGATCCTACCAACCAATCATGGCCAAATTGAGTATCAAAATAATAATATTAGATATCATTACTAGAAATAATAAATTAGAATGCATTGAACCATGAGTTCCATAATTGAAAGTTTAATTAGGAATTGGAAGTTTACATAGTTTCAAAATAACCCTCCATACTTATTAATAACAAAGAGAAAAAGAATCACTCTATAGGGGAGAAGCCAAAAAGACATGGTCTTAAGATAGCAAGATAAATATCAACAGCAGTGAGAAAGCATAAATCTTGTGCCACCTTACAAAATGCAATGAAAACAGCACACTATTTCTGTGATCTACCGAAAATGTACAACCCTATCTGGTCACAGGGAAGCATAAGACAAACTTGTATTAAGGACATACTCCCAAATAATGAGATTGTAGTCTTCAAAAATGCTAAGGGGGGAGGTCTGGGTTCTGGTGGCTCACACATGTAATTCTAGCTACTCAGGAGGCAGAGATCAGGAGGATCACAGTTCGAAGCCAGCCCAGGCAAATAGTTTTGTGAGACCCTATCTCAAAAAACCCTTCACTAAAAAGGACTGGTGGAGTGGCTTAAGGTGTAGCCCTAAGTTGGAACCCCTCTACCACACACATACAAAAAAAAATGCTGAGGTTAAAGAACACACTTGGACTACTGGAGAGACTTGAATGGGGTTTAAAAACTATATGGTAGTGATGTGTTTATATTGTGGTAATGCTAAGAAGGATATTTTGTGTGTGTTGGGCTTTTTTTTTTTTTTTGTAAGTACCAGGGTTTGAACTCAGAGCTTTGTGCTTGCCATGTATCCATCTCTTTTTTCCTTAATCTTTTTTTCAGATAGGGTCTGGTGCTTTTTGCTTGGGACCAGCTTCAGACAATGATCCTCCTACCTCCACCTTCCTCATAGTTGGGATTATAGGCATAAGCCACCATGCCTAGGTCAAGAGAATGTTCTTGTTTGTGAAAAATACTCATTGCACGGAGATGAGGTCCAGCAACATAATCACATGGTTCTAGAAGAATATAAAATTCTTTTCATATTGTGCATGGAAATTTTCTGTAAATTTGGGATTTCTATTACTTTTAAGTCAGATTTTGTTATTTGATTGATTGATTTTTGGCAGCAGTGGGGTTTGAACTCAGACCCTTACACTTGTTAGGCAGGCACTCTTACTCTTTAGCAACTCCGCTAGCTCACTTTTTACAATGGGTATTTTCGAGATCGGGTCTCCTACCTGAGTAGCTAGGATTAGACATCAATGACCAGCACCTGGCAGATTTTGTTTATTTTTAATGACTATTAAGGTATGGGCAAGACTGAGAAAGCCATTTAATAATAGCTCAGTGAGGACTGTAATAAATAAGATAAATAGGAGAAACTGTTAAACAGCCGTTCTCATGAATTTCCAGTCACAGCCATGCTCTCTTATGTCTGTCTTTAAAGAAAATAACTGGAGTGGTGGTCCCAGAACTAATTCAGACCAGTGCAATTGTTCAATTTTCAGAATTTCTGTGAGCCAATTTTAAGTATAACTCTTGTAAAAAGTTTAACTATACAAACTTAAAGACAATTATATTAAAAAGAAAGGAGATGTTCAAAATTCAGCACATCTTAATTGCTTGCTGCATGTTTCTGTTACCTCTGCTGTGAGGTTATTTGTGTCCTTTGTATCCAAATGATGCAAATACTCTGTAAGGACATGCTTCTGCTCTCCCTAAACCCACGTTCAGCACTGTAACACCACGCTAGTAGCTTGCAATTGGCCATTGCCTCACTATTTGTAGATTGAAACTAGATGAGCACTACAGATCATGGCTAGATTTGTTGTGTATTCACATCTTGGCTTAAGGAAGTAACGAAAAAGTATCAATAATGCAGATGAAACTTAAAAATACATTTTTTCCTACAGTCATTATGTTGCAAGTGATGCAAAGCATTTTCTAGTATTTAAAAATCAACATGCAACTCAGCAAAGAAGTCTCTCGCACATTGATAAGCCTATGTAGTGCGGCCAAATATTTGTTATTTCTCTTTTACTCATTAACTCATCTCTCTTTTAACTCACAACATTGATGTCAGAGCCACCTTCAGTCATCAACTGAAGCCACAGTTGTTACAAATACAAAATTAACAAGAGCATTTTGAGAGAATTAATTGGCTATATAGAATTTACAGCAAGGAATATTGAACATATGTATTTTAATAGACTTTATTTTTTCAGAGCAGCATTAGATCACATCAAAATTAAGCAGAAAATATACATTCCACTTACCTCTGACCCTCCACATGTAAGCCTCCTCCTCACTATCAGCATCCCTCACCAAATGGCACATTTGCCACAATTGATGAGCCTACACTGACACATCATTATCACCACAAATCCACAGTTCCCATAGGGTCCACTCTTGGTCCCATACGTTCTGTGGGTCTTGACAAATAAATAACGACAGGTGTTCATCTTTACAGTATGATATAAGTGGTTTCATTGTCCCAAAACTCCCTGTGTTCTGCCTGTCCGTCTCTCCCTTCTACCTAATCCTTGGCAACCACTCACAGTTTTGTCATTTCCAGAATATCAAATGGTTGAATCACACACACTGTAGCCTTTGCAGATTGGCCTCTTCATTCAGCAATTCCCATTTACGATGCTTCTTCTTTGTCTTGTTTTTCTTTCTTTTTTTGGGGGGGGGGAGGTGGGACTGGGGTTTGAACTCAGGGCTTTGCACTTGCAAAGCAGGCATTCTACCACTTGAGCCACACCTCCAGTCCATTTCACTATGGTTATTTTGGAGATGGGGGCGGGGTCTCACGATCTATTTGATCTTTCCAATCTCAGTCTCTCAAGTAGCTAGGATTACAGGTATAAACCACAAACGCCTGACTTCCTCTATGTCTTTTCATATAACTTTTTATTTATTTTTGTTTTAGCACTGATTCACAGTTCATTGTGTGTTCTGCAGTTAATCATTTGCTTACTAAAGGAGATCTTGGTTACTTCTATATTTTGGCAATTATAAAAAAATTGATATAAATATCCATGTGCTAAACCACAAACGCTGACTTCCTCTATGTCTTTTCATATACTTTTATTTATTTTTTTTAGCACTGATTCACCAGTTCATTGTGTGTTCTGCAGTTAATCATTTCCTTACTAAAGGAGATCTTGGTTACTTCTATATTTTGGCAATTATAAAAAAATTGATATAAATATCCATGTGCAGGTTTTCATATGTACTTTTTATTATTTGTAAATTATGTGCTATATATCATTTACATAGTTAAATTTTATGATACACTATAGTGTATTATAAACTAGCAATTGGTTTCTCCATTCTTAAGCATCTGCACACCACTGCACACAGGCTGTAGTAACCATATTAACTTTCCTCTGAGTCAAATGGGATTTCGAGCAGGGGAGTGACTGGAGTTTTTAAAGAGTCACAAAAGTCATGTTGAGTAGAGACCCTGGTGACGGAGAAGCAAGGAGATGTGGTGGGAGGCTGTTGTCTCCAGGTGAGAGGAGAGTGTCTCGAGTGAGGCCTGGAGTCTATGATGTAATCTTGATGAGGTTCCTAGAACATCTGCTCTGTGGCTTAGTCCAATCTCACATGGCTACTGCAGGCTGGGGGCCTGGCAGAGTGGTCCATTATACAGCTCCTCTCTTATTTATCAATTTGTTCCTAAATTTGGGGACCATAATTTGCATAGTTTGGGGATAAATGGATAAATAAGACAGGGGTCAGCAGTTTGAGAACTAAATATAACCTTTACTGCTGACTAGGCTGGGTTGGAGGATGCAGTTTAGTGTGAGAGCAAATTAAAGGCAATTGTATGAAAAGACTGTATCTGTTCTGGAAATGTTGGTATAAGGGATAGCTGTGTATACTCTGTCTTCATTTAGTTTAGTGATATCAATGAATTTGGAGTTTATCGTCTAATAATACCAAAGATACTTGGATACATGTTAAGAAATACTATATTAGGCCAGGTGCTGGTAGCTCATGCCTGTAATTCCTAGCTACTTAGGAGGTTGAGATAGGGAAGATTGTGGTTCAAGGCCATGCTGGGCAAATAGTACATGAGAACCCATCTCCAAAATAACCAGAACAAAATGGTCTGACGATGTGGCCCAAGCAGTAGTGAACCTGCTTTGCAAGCACAAAGTCATGAGTTCAAATCCCAGTATAACTAATATATATAATATAGATAGATAGAATTAGGATATACTCAGAAGACCAGAAGAAGTTTAGGATCTGGTGAGATAAAACAGTGTATATTTGAAAGTGTTGCTAATATTCATTGTTTCAAAAAATCCAATACTGTCATTTCTTCACAAATGCTCATTGTTTAAAAACAAAAAAAACACTGTTCATGAGAAATTTATAGTTTGGGACAGTTTTAAGTGATTATTGTACAACTAAAATTTATAGAAAATTTCATTGAAATTTATACATAAAAATTGTTACAGAAATTAAATAGGATTTCCTATTTAAAAATGGGTATGTTAACTCCCTGTCCTGCAGTCAAAGCTGTGGAAATTGAGGGAACCTTAAGTGTGCACAGAATACACTTTTACTAACACGGAGTAGAGAGAGGAGAAAGAGCACTCAGGCGTATTTCTTATCTCATTCTTCCCCCAATCTCCTGACCCTTGAATGTAGAACACAAGGATTCTATAATATTTAAACAACCAAACTGTAGGAGATTATTTTGTTTTTTGCTTTTCCCATATTTTCCTCATTAGGACTTTCCTTTTTAGGTGATTTTGCACCCAGAGTTCCTATCCTCCACCAGCCCCTTATTACCAATGGATTATGAAGAGTTTGTCCGAGGTTGTCATCTTGGGGTATTCCCGTCATACTATGAACCCTGGGGTTATACTCCAGGTATGTGACATGGATAGACTGTGGAATGTTGATTTGGTTGTATATCATGTATATAATATTAAAGTTGATATGTAGTTTCTATGAAGGTTTTGTACTTTTCCAGTTTGTTTTTAAAGTGGCTTTGGTTGAATCCATCTCAGGGGTCATAGTGTGGTTGGGCATTTTTTGTGAGAATCTAGCTATTCCCTCATTGTATCCTGAAGAAAAAAGAATGTTTTACAAGCATTATGCACTAATTTAGTTATTGCTACCCATCCCATCCATTAATGTGAAGGATAACTTGACTACAAGTGGAGTTGATATGAGAAGTGAAAGTCTAGCAACATAGGTAAGACTCATCTCAGAAGAACACGTCTTTAAAAAAAAACTAATGGATGCATTTAATTTGTAATAGGCAACACAGTCATATGGCTAAAAAGCAATGAAAAGAAAAAAGGGCGCTATGTGGAAAATCTTTCACATGCTTGTCCCACAAAACAGAAGTACTATTGAGAGAAAACAGTCGTTCAGTTGTAGGTATTGTCACTAGTGACATCATTCCCCTGAGCTACTCCCAGTATTTTTTTGTTTTTAACAAATGATGGATTATCAGATCTACCATTTATTTTTCTTTTCGGGTCCCTAGTAGACTGGTTGCTATTAGTGTTAAGACTGATTGATTTGTAATTTTACTGAAATGCCTACTTAAAATAGAAACTTGGGTGGAGGATAAAGCTCCCTGGTGAGGTGTGTGCTTATCTTGTGTGAGATCCTGGTTTCAATCCCTATCCCACCAATAAATAAATAGTAGTCGAGAAAAAAAATACCTTGAGTGCATGCCAAGTGGAAAAAAAATCAATAATGACTTTCTTATATCTCATTAGTAATCAAAGAAAGTCTTCCTGTTTAGATAGAATTTCATTTGTAATTTTTCAAGAAGTATCATAGAGAAGCAAAAACCCAAATGCCTGAATGACTGTGGGAATGAGGGAAGTCATCCCATTGCTTGAAAAGAATACTATATATAACTAATGGTTGCCTTTCTACCAAAATGTCATGTTATGGTAAGAGAGGTGTATCTAATGTCCTAAGATAAAGGCCAGAGAAGATGTTATAGTAGATATGTAGATATAGAAAGGAATTTTTGGAACACTTCATAGAGAATGAGTCATTTTGTTTTAAATTAACCAAAGGGAGTTGGCTGCTCCCCACCTAATCTTATAATTAGGGAAACAATAAGCCTTCTGGTGGTATTGATTTAGCATTGCCATATTCGATAACTACTTTCTTTTTAGAATAATATAATGGGATACTGAGTCTACCTCAGTCCAGAAAGCACTCATTAAAATTTGTTCTGTATTTTGAACAAATTTAATGAATGTAAGCAGTTATTTCATTAAATTCACTAAAGGAATACATATTGAGTTTACATGGTTACCTGGTATTTTAACTAAAAACTGAACTAATGAATATTTATTTTAAAAATAAGGATCTGTGAACTCCCATGGGATTACAGACAAAGCTTTCATGTACATCAATATTGAGTTTTTCTGGGGAAGAGATCCAGAATTTTCACCAAGTTCTCAAAGGGGGTGACTATCCCCTTCTCCCTTCCCCTCCTCAATCTCCTCCCCCAAATTAGAGAACTACAGTTCTGTACCTAGTGAGCTAAATCAAGGGGAAAATACAGAACAGGAGATAAAACTCCTGTACTACTTCGTGTGGGTAGAGGGGACATCCAGTTTTTACTCATCCCCACTCAATAACCAAGGGTAATTCCATAAACAAATATAATTTCTTTGTTATAAATGCAGACTTCAGACTGGGAATGGTAGTACACATCTGTAATTCAAGGTACCTGGAGGGTGGGTATAGGAGGGTCTTGGTCTGGGACCAGCCTTAGGCAAAAAAGAGGGAGAACCTATCTGAAAAATAACTATAGCAAAAAGTATCAGTGGAATGGCTTGAGTGGTAGAACACTTGCCTAACAAGTGCGAGGCCCCGAGTTCAAACTCCAGTACCCCCAAAATAAATAAAAAGCAGACCTTCTTGAGAGTCATAGATTTTTATTTTTTTTAAATTGCTGTGCTTGTTGGGGTACATTGTGGCATGTACAAAAGTTCTTACAATGTATCAGATATAATTTAATTCATCCCCTCCACCATTCTTTATCTCCCACTCCCCCCATTCCTAGAATAGTTTCAACAGATACCATTTTTCTATCTGTACATGTGTGCACAGTATTTGTACCATATTCACCTTCCTTCACCATTTCTCCACCTCCTCCCCTCTCCCACTGGTACCAGCACCCTCACACTCCAGGCAGGACCTGTTCTGCCTTCCTGTTCTCCAATCTTGAAAAAGAAAAGAAGAAGAAAAAAATGACATTTTTGGTTGTTTAAGCTAACTACACAGGGAGTTTCCTTGTGGCACTTGAACCAAATCTGGCTATAATACATACAAACAGAGAGCCATAGATTTTTAAAGACATGTCAGATATTTTGTGGGAAGCAGGTTTTGATCAAAAGTGAGAGAAGAGTGACCAGATCATCAGTTCACTCAGCCTTAAGACAGTGGCAGGAATTTGTGCCAAGGAGATGTATGTGAGGAGAAACCATTTATGTCCAAAACATATTTAACCTACCCCATAAACTTGCAAGAAGAGCTGCTGGCTCAGAATAGACCAATAAAAACAAAAAGAAAAAGCCTGCTGGACTTAAAGCAGATTTAGCTTTGGAACCTGGCCCTGGGCTTCAAATTCCAACTCATCCCCTGACTACATGAAGGTAGGCAAGTTGTGTAGCTTCTCTGTGCTTCAGTTCTTTCCCGGGTGAGATGACGATCGTGTCTCTTCACAGGGTGGTAGAGAAGATTCATTCAGTGTGTTAATAATACCCACAAAGAGCCAGAGCCATGCTGGGCACATCATAAATTCTGCTACTGTGTGCACTGGGGCTTTTTGTCCTCCACATGCATGTGGGCACCGGTCTGAAGCTGAGCTGTGTCTCTTTCTCCTGGCAGCTGAATGCACGGTGATGGGCATCCCCAGCGTGACAACAAACCTGTCCGGCTTTGGTTGCTTCATGCAGGCGCACGTGGCTGATCCTACTGCTTATGGTGAGGTTTTCATCACTAACCTAACTGCAGATACCTGACCTCTAACCAAACAGCACAGGCTCTTCATAGAGCCTGACTCTAAGGCTATCCTGATAATTCAACTGATGCTCATACTTCTTAATTAAAAGTAGGTTAAAGTATGTGGTCCATAGATAAGAATGCTATTAATACTAAACGTATCGCTGAATAGACAAACCACAAAAAGGAGTGAAAATCTGTAAAAACTTTGTCTTTAATCTATTTTTTGGGGGGTGTTAGGGGGTCTTTTCTGAAGTCTGAGTTGGTGGTCTACTTCATAGAAGTGATATTACAATAACAATGGCGTTAGAGTACACATATTGGTTGCCATATGTAGAAACATATATTATTATTTTAAAGGTCCATGCCAAATTAGAAAACTTCGTTTAAAGTGATTAAGATGGCAGGAACATTTGCATATCACCATCTGTCTGTTCATGTTGCCTAGCAGCAAGAGACATTAGAATGGGATAGATTCTCTGATCGAATTGCCAGTTCCCTGGGTCTTGGAAGTTGCACTGTGACTATTCTCCTTTTTTTGGTCAGAGCTGTGGATCTCAGCACTGATTGTGTGGTGAGAACACTTGGGAACCTACAAAGCACTGGTACCAGGACCTACCTGGAGGTTCTGGTTAGTGAGGGGCCCCTGAAGAATCACCAGTCAGCAGTATCCCCAAATGGCCAGAACTTTTATCAGTAAAACCCACTTTGTTGGGTAATGATTTTAAACCATTAGAAGGCAGTCACAGAAAAATAAAATCTTAGAAGGGAAAGAGAAAGTAGAGGCCATAGCGAGGGAGGGGGTAGATGACCACATGTGCTATGGTCTTTGGTTGTGCAAAAGAGAAAACAAAGAGTAGGAGAAGAAATGTTTTAAGATTCTATTTTTACCTGAGCTTTGGCTTTTCTGCTCTTCAGGTATTTACATTGTTGACAGGAGATTCTGCTCTCCAGATGATTCTTGCAATCAGCTGACTCAGTTTCTCTATGGATTTTGCAAACAGTCACGCCGCCAAAGAATTATCCAGAGGAACCGGACTGAGAGGCTCTCAGACCTACTGGACTGGAGATACCTAGGCAGAGTAAGCACTTTTAAAATCCCACTGGTCTGTTAAAGTGCTAATTCCAGTCATCATCTGTAAAGTCAGTTCAGAATCCAGTTGTGGCATCTCCTTTTCATGTGCTCTTTACTTAGTGTGAGTCTTCAAACTTCTAAACTCAAGTGTCTGCATTTAGTTTGAGTCCATTCAAACCAGCAAGTCTGTCAGGGTGTAGCACTAATCTGACCAGTTATTCCAAGATCAGTGCTTCACTCGATGCAGTACAGGTATGCAGAAACAGTTTGTGAAGAAGAACACCAAGGATGAAATCATTGCTAGAACTATACTAGAAGGATGGAAATGATACTGTTTTTTCAAAATGACAAGTACAGGAAATCCCTCTATCCAGTCATGCAGTAGGTATATAAACACCCAGATGTTCACATATCTTAGAACTGAATGATTTAATAACAAGTGAATTGACTTTGCCTTTGCATTGCTGGGCTCTCCCCACCAAGCAACAGATGGGGTAGTGTTCTCATCATCTCCACACTGTAGTGCCATGGCTCAGTATAACTTGGATGGTTGATTTTACCACCTTCATTTTAGAGTGAAATCAGAGGAAGAAAAAGGCTCTTAGAAGTTGTGTTTCTTCTATTTTTTTTTTTTTTTTTGGTGAAATGGGGTTTGAACTCAGGCCTTTGTGCTTGCAAAGCAGGCGCCCTACCATTTGAGTCACACCTCCAGTCCATTTTGCTCTGGTTATTTTGGACATGGGGTCTCGAGAACTCTTTGCCCAGCCTGGCCTCACAGGTGATCCTTCAGATCTAAGCACCCCAAGTAGCTGGGCTTATAGGTGTGAGCCATGGGCAGCCGGCTTAGCAGTTGTGTTTCTTCCCTAAGAGCTGAAGCAGAATTTATATCCAGACAGTCTGGCAAAATTTAGATCCCATCTTTTTTCCATGCAGTATTGCCTCTTGGTAGAATGAAACCAGTGTCTCTGTTACTGCAATGCTCTCCACCCCCAACTTCTTGTAGTATTTCTTTGCCTGTACATTGAAAAGTAATAGAACTATAAACTGTCATTACTTTTCTGATTCTCAAACTTAAGATGAATAGGTTCTTCTCTCTCTCTCTCTCTCTCTCTCTCTCTCTCTTTCTCTCTCTCTCTGTCCATATAGCTTTCTTTTTTACTTTAGAGAAATGATCTTGCTATGTAGCCCAGGCTGGCCTGGTAGCCATGGCTGGCTTTGAAATCTTGATCATTCTGTCTTTACCTCTCAAGTACTGGGATTACAGGTGTGCACCACCACATCCTGTTAAATAAATATATATTTCAGAACAGTGTATAATGTATTGAAATATTATATGCTACCCCATTAATATGTACTATTTTTATGTTTCAGTTCAAAATACATTTTTAAATGTTTACATACAGATTTCAAACCTTAGCGAATAAGACCTTATATAATAATTTGGTTAGTGCAAAAGCTAGTTCTTTTTTTAACCTATGAATTGGCTTTCTACAAACAGTTTTACCAGCATGCCAGACACCTGACGTTAAGCAGAGCTTTTCCGGATAAATTCCATATGGAACCCACATTACCACCGACGGTTAGTATTTGTATTGTTTATTTGTTTTTAAAGGTAATTTTCTTATCTGTGACAGGTTTTAATAATACCTTTTATATGGAAATAGCCAAGTATGCAAACTGTTATACATTTTGTGTTGTTGAACCAAAGCAAGGAATAGAGAAATTCACAAATCAGACTGTCTCAAACTCTGATTCCGAGTTAGCCTTGTCTATAAGATGAGTAGACAGCTAATTCATGCCATTGGAGGAGGATCTCCATATTGAAACCCTTGGTGCCATAATGCTTGAAGTGGCTCTGTTAGACATCTGTTCTTTGGGGAGTCATTCAACAATAAAATGGGCTACTTTAACAGGAAGTGAATTTGCTGTACAAGGAAGTGTTTAAATATAGGATGGCCACTTGCCAAGAGTAAAATAGAGCAAATTCAAGTATCAGAGGTGGAACTGGACCAGATGGGCAATTACACAGTGCTCACTAGGGAATGTCCTTCTAAAGTTCAATAAAGCATTTATATTCATGAGCCTGCCATAGGTCACATCTGCCATCAGATTCACTTGGAAGAGAAGAAGACAGGAAGCACAGTTTGAGGTGGGGTGGCAACAGACATTCCTCTTTAGTGAGATTAGTCTTCTCTGAAATCTACACAGTGATCCAAGGACTAATATTTTTTAGCCCTCTATCTACTAGATGACACCATAGGTGTCAGAAAATAAGACCCATACATAAGATGCAATATCACCTTAGCAGTGATATGCACCTGTGTTCCCAGCTACTGGAGAGGCTGAGATGGGGGGTCACTTAAGCCTAACAGTTTGAGAGTGGATTAGGCAACATAGTAAGACCCCATCTCAACAAATGATCAAATAAACAAACAAACAGATCCACCTTAGCTTAGTATCTATGTCCTGCAGGAACAAAGGTCTTGTGTGAATCTCCACAGACAAGCTTCCACAGTCTTTTCATGAAATTTGCTTAATTACAAGAGTTATTTCCAGAAATTCCCCAAAACTATGTATCCCCATCAAGTATAAATCCTTCGATTTCAGGTGTCATTGAATCAAGGGTCACTCAGGGGTTACTTTTATCATGAACAATGTTGCCCAATAACACAACATATATTCTATCAGTATTAGTTTTCCAGAGGAAGAGATCTAGAAAGATTTGCCCATAGAGAAGTTGGAAGGGTTTTCAGAATCCTTCCATGTATAAATCTCAACTCCCATGGTTATGATTCCATCATTCGGAGAGTTGATTGCTTCTCTTCTCAAAGGCAGACACTTGATAATTCAAGTGAATTCATACATTTTCCTGCTTATTCAATATAAGCGTTTAGCTCTTATTCTGACTAAGGTCCTAAGTGCAGGATTCAGCTGTTTGTATGTATTGCTTTCAGATAAAGTGCCCAAAATTTGAAATGACTGCACATGTATGACATCATAATAATATATAAAAATAGTCAAAATATCGAGTGACACATGCTGTAATGTTTTTACTCATTTGTCTCCTGGTTCAAGCCCGGGGAAAGGGATTGCATTTTTCAACTTGTTTCTTTGTTGGCATTGAGATACATTTAGGCAGTACTCAGCCCACGCTTATCCAAGGAGTTTTCTCAGTGAATCTTAGGGCTCAGAGCAATGCAATGAAAACCCAGTCATATTTGCTCATGAACTAAAATGACAGTGACCCGTGGAATTTATGGGTCAATTTATGGGTCCTAATGGTTGTTGTCCATAGTTTATCCAGCTGCCCAAGGCCTGCAACTTTCTGAGAAAATCTGAAGGCCAATGAAGAGGCCGGTAGGATAAGCAGTGTGCATGGCAGTTGAGTTTAAAGGGCCCGTAGTCATCACTAACCTGGTTCAAATCTTTGCTGTACCACTTGCATGCCATGTGACCTTGGAACTGTACCACTTGCATGCCATGTGACCTTGGAACATCTTTTGGTTTCTACACCCTTCGTTTTTTTTTTCTGTAAGTGCGCAGAAAAATATTTTTTTGGGGGGGCTTTTTGTTAAAAGATTAAGTGACCTAACATGTATATGCACCAGGCACATTTCAATCCTTAATACAGGATAACTTGTACCAGAACCAAAGTTTAGTAGCACCTGCACAGATCACAAAAGATATCTGTTATAAAAATTAATGTGCAAATATAGTGTTTGCTTCATTGAAAAATAAGAAGCAATTAATATACACATCTTACTTTTAATATACATGTCTTAATATTAATATATGTGTCTTATCTGCTTTGGCAGACAGAAGGATTTAAATATCCCAGGCCCTCCTCAGTACCACCTTCTCCATCGGGCTCTCAGGCCTCCAGCCCTCAGAGCAGTGATGTGGAAGATGAAAATGAGGATGAGCGATACGATGAGGAAGAAGAGGCTGAACGGGATCGGCTAAACATTAAGTCACCATTTTCTCCGAGCCACGCTCCTCGGGGGAAAAAAAAACTGCATGGTGAATTCAAGAACTGATTCCACATTGCGGAGGAGCTAATGTAGCAAGAACGTGATAAGATGAAGATTAAATGAAAGACAATGCCACACGTCCTCTGCTTTCTTAAATATGACAACGGAGTTTATTCCCCGCCTAAAAAGTGGAGATTAGGTGAATGGCAATTGTATAATTTAGCATGAAATCCAAGCTATTATCTCTAATTCTTCTCGTAAATTTCAGCATGAGAAGGGGTGTTAATATGGCAAGATTGTGGGTATTTTGTAAAATGGCTAATTAAAGCAATAAAGATTTTCTTTCATCAGGGTTTATTTTTAGATTATCATCATCATAAGCTTTCTACAGCTATGATTACAGGCATGAGCCACCAGCGCCCAGCAATAGGAACTCTTTTTTAATGGATTGTGCTACCTGCTAAGGTCTGAATGTTTATGACACCTCAAAATTCATATGCTGAAATCCTAATCCATCAAAATGATTATATTAGAAGGTGGGGCATCTGGGAGGTGATTAGGTCATTAGGACAGAGCCTTATGAATGAGATTGGTGACCTCATAAAAGAGGCCCCAGCTAGAGATGTAGATTAGAGGTAGAGTCTCTGTTTAGCATGTGTGAGGCTCTGGGTTTAATCTTCAGCACCAGAAGAAGGGATGGAGGGAAGGACAGTGAGAAGGAAGTAAGGGGGGGAAGAAAAGGAAGGAAAGATGGAAAGAAGGAAGGAAGGAAGGAGTTCTGAGAGTTGACTTGCCCTTCTGTTGTTCTATTATATGAGGACTCAGCAATGAGTCAGCTATGACTCATGAAAAAGTGCCCCTCACCAGACAGTGATTCTGCCAGCACCTTGTTCTTGACTTTCCATGCCTCCAGAACTGTAAGAAATAAGTTTTTTGTTTATAAACCACCCAGTTTATGGTATCTTGTGTTAGCAACTCAAGCAAGCCATGGCAAGAGTAAGAGTAAGTGAACAGAGCTGTTTTTACAATATAGATGTGAATATAAAGTGTCACAAGTACCACAGTGACATTCCCCAGAACTCACAAGAGGGACTAGGCAAGTACCCATGAATAAATCCAAAGTAGTGTCATAGAATGAACCCAAATTTCTATGAATTAATGTGGGTGACATAATTGCCCACTTCACATGGTGGTTGTGAAGTTCAGAACCCCTTTGCTTTTTTTCTCCTCTCTTAGGAACACAGTGGTGGGGTGGGCGAATGGGAAGAAGGGCATCTACCCGAAACCCAGGGAACAAGGAACCATTGAGAGCCCAGGCTGAGGGAGGACGTCCAGGCAAAGAAAGAAGGACAGCTGGAGTGGTAGGAAGATTTGGAGACTGGCACATTCTAGGACATGTTGAAGGCGGTAATTTCCCAGTATAAAATACAAGAAGCCTTATAATGTCAAAGGTTTTTTTCATGTGTGATCATGTATTCATTTTAGTTTCTAAAAAGACAAATAAAGTTTGTCTTGACTGAAACTTGTGTGGAAACCTGATGGCCATTGAATTGGTGTGGAGAGGTGGAGACTTTACGATGTTATTGGAGGAGTGGGAGCATAGTTTAGTGGTAGAGTACATGCTTACCATGTACAAAAACCTAGATTCAAACCCCAGTGCATGCACGCGCGCGCACACACACACACACACACACACACACACACAAGTTATTAGGTTGTTCAAAGTGACAAATGTAGTTTTCTGAGGCTTGGGGACTGGAATAGTTACCAAAGAGCATCTTGGTATAAAACATGGCTGCTCTCGTGTTTTGCCTCTTCCACACTGGCTCGCATGCCCTTCTGCCTTTTTGCCTTGCTATGAAGCAGCTTGAAGCTGAAAAGATTACAAAGCCATGTTCTTGGGCTCCCAGTCCCTAGAACTCTGAGCCAAAATAAGCCTGTTCCTTCACAAATTACCCAGTCTCAAGTACTCTGCAATTCCAACACTACCAACAACAAAACGGACGAACACCCTAGAAGGTTCTCAAGTGTTAGCAAGCCAGGGAGAGGAACATTTGTAATTAATCAGTACATTTGTATGGTTGACCATTCAAGGAGTTCAAGTACTTGTGCTACTTGGAGCTATATTTTCTGTTAAAAATGCTATTTTAGTGTGAAGTGCTTGAGACTGTTCGGGATAGTTGTAGGAGGAATCATTTCATAAGGACAATCTTCAAAGTGTTTTTGGGGCTGGGGATGTAGCTCAGTGGTAGAGCACTTGCATAGCATGTACAAGGCCCTGGGCGCAATTCCCAGCAACACAAAAACCTAACAGGAACAAAATCCAGTATTCTTGGAAGAAGCATACTATTTAAATAAGCAACACATATAAGTTTATGTCTGATGAGTAAATAATTCTTAATAAATTAGAAGCAGGCAGTGTCTAGTAAATTTACTTTAAAATCAAGTATTAATTAATGACAGATGCTGTTACAATGCCACATAATTTTTTAATGCTTGCATATTTTTAGCAGAAATCAATGGCACATTAACTTGAATATAGTTGCATTATTAAATTATGAAACAAGATGCAGACAAATCTTATAAGCATGGTTTTGATTACTTGACATGATATAATTTCAAATTACAGAGACTTTCACTTACATATACTTCATGGCTACTAAACAAGAGCTCTGTGATGATGACAACAAGAATGACAGTATTTTCTTTTTATGACACTTACCAATAATAACTCTGAATTAGCTGGGTAACAAAATAACATGATGGCCTTATTATTCCAAATGAATAATTATGTTCACTGTAGGGGCGTGTGTGTTCGGGTGACATTGAACACAAGTTGACATTGAAGAGGAGTGAGTCAGGTGTATGACATGCACTTGTGTTATCATGTTATGATGCCAAGAACAGCTCAGACTCTAGGAAATTAGTGTAAGCAGACTCTGTTGAGCCTGTTTAGCCATGGAAATGGGTTGTCTCTAAAATCTGGTTTGCACCCTTTGCATGCTATCTACACAAATGGACTGTGTCACCATCTGATTATTTCCCAGGATATTTTATATCCAAGATTCTAAACAGAAGTCAGGAAGACCCCTAAAGAGCACAAGGGGAGCTCCCAGTTGTGTTTTACAGTAAACCCTTTGTGGTGCCAGCCTCAGCAATGCTACACTCTCTCAAAGCCTCCCTGAGGAGTCAGTGGTCTTCTCCAGGAGCTTCTTCCCAGGCATTCTGGGAAGCTTACCTCTGGTACATGAGCTACAGAGAGTCACTCTCTCTTTCCCTTCATGCCTTGCATCCTCCCTCCTTAGGATGAGAAAAAGAAGAAACAGAGGGAGCATCATTGCTGAGGGATGCCAAAATGCACATGGGTAACAGAATGAAACAAACCAACAGTAAGACCAATGACAGGTGCTTGCTGTGATGAAAAGGAAGAACAATTCCAGTCTTCACCCTTATTAGAAATGCTTGAAGCTCGAGTACCACACAAGGTAATTTAAACGGCCAAAATGACAGAAGGTGATATTCTTAATTAAGAATTCTACGTTTCTTTTGCTTCTAAAAGAATAAAATTACTAGTGCATGTTTCCAGGATTATAAATGGAGTAAAAAGGGCCCAAGGGTTTCATTCACATGGTTCACATTTCCAACAGGAATAGAATGGAATAGAATCTGGTGTATTTTCACCAGGTTAGCAGACTGTCTTCTAGGAATCTGCTTTGATCAAAGTTTTCTTCTCTCTCTGAAAGAGAAAATAAATAAACACACATTCTGTGCTTCAAAGGGAGAGAAGGTAGTACAAAGACAACCTTGGGAAATAAACAGTTAGCCCCTGGAAAATTTTAAAAAGATGACTTTTGATTTGGTTTTAACTGACTTGTGTGGGATGCACTGAGCAATTTACATTCTCCATCTGAATCTCTGAATGGCTGAAATATTGAGATGGTAGGTTTGGTACAATCTGAAAGGGCCATGTGCCTTGCTCTGATAAATGTGTTTCATGTCTAAAGTCCCTGCCATGACAACCATTCACTTGCATCAAAGTGCTCTGTCTCTCCAAAAGTCCTGTGTCAGTGCCTCTTACTTGGGATAGACGACATAGGGACATATTTCATATATTCCTTCATTAGCTGATTTTTCTGGGGACTCAATGAGACAAAACCCAGGGACACTTGTTGGCCTGATGATTGCAACAATTCAGAGCAATTCAGAGCAGGAGTATCTCATATGGACTGGGACTTCCTAAGGAGTCAGACAATAGCAGGTTTCTGGGACTCAACAAATAGGGTAGAAGGGAAAAGGAGTGATCAGAGGTAAAATATAGTTCCTAGTATTTCTCTAAGATCACCTCTAGATAAAACCGCATTTTCTCAGTTAGTTACAATATAATTTGAATATCTGGGTTGTGAAATATTGTAGATAATGCACTGCTTTTTAAAGGGAATGAAACACATGCATGCGTGTACATGCACATACAGACACCTACATGCACAACCAGAAAAGCACCCCAGTACAAACTGCTTTGAAATAAAAATTCAGGATATAAGAGCCTTCCAAATAACATCTAGAGACTTTGGAATCAAAATACTACAGACTAGTGATCAATATATCATATTGGTCATTAATTTTCCATCAATTTAGACTGATAAAATTTTGTTTCTTTCATCTTCAAGACAAATCACTTAGAAAGCATCAATAATTAAAAAATTATATTTACTTTCCAAAAAGACTTGAAATGGAGACCTATAATTGTATCCTTACTCTTCTTTAAAACAGCTCTTGCCCAGTGTAGTGGTGCATAGCTGTAATCACAGAACTCTTGGGAGGCTGAGGCGGGAGGATCACAAGTTTGAGGCCAGTCAGGGCTTCAAACTGGGACCCTGTCTCAAAACAAAACCACAATAAAAAACTAGTTCTTCTTTCTTAGTTCTAGCTAATTTTCCTCCTTGACTCTGTAAATACCAACAATCAAATCTAAAACTTCACTGTAAACCAAACTCCATCAAAATTCTTTTCCTACTGACTTCAAAAATTGGTAAGTATTCTAAATCTTAAATATTAAAGAGACCATGTTGGATTCAGCATCCTGGATCAAATATTCAACCATTTTTGACCTTTCCATTGCTAGAATTCTGAGAACCATGACAGTTCCCCAATACCTAGTACTTGCTTCTCTAGTTTACTTTCTTGTGCTAAATTCCTGTAAACAAAATTTCAGATAGGGTATGGCAGCAATAAATTGTGTCACTGGTAGCTGCTCAGAAGTCTTGTGAATCACTTTAATGTTCTCTGAATTCTGCAGTCTCCACCATCCTGCTAGATGTGACACATCTCATTACTTTCTTCCTGACACTTGCCTTCCTCAGCAGCTGGGCACTTGGTTATTCTGATTCTCCTCTCACATTTCTGCCTGCTCTTAGTGTCTCTTCACCAGCACTATCCCCACCTCCTTTGCCTTGACTTGTGGGTGTTTTCTGAAGTTAATGTTTGATTATTTACTCATCCCTCCACTATATCTAAGCTCCTAGGAGGGATTTCTGCTTTCATGGTTCCAACCTTTGTTAACTGGCACTGTATTTCCAGTTGGTTCAGAGCCTGACCCATTATCAGAATAATGGCGGCAGGGTGGGGCCTGGGTGTTCTTAAGGACACAGATGTTCGGGGCTCACTCCAGTGGATCAGAAGCAGAATCTCTGGGCCTAAGGTCAAGAAATCTTTGCTTTTCAGTAAGTTCTCTAGGTAATTCTGACAACCAGTCCACATGGACAGTGGAGAAGCATTGGCTTACACATCTTTATTTACTGGAATGTTCCTGTCAGCTTGAGCTGAACTCTCTTCCACATCATGGAGATTTTTATCCCTTATTATCAATGTTACCACTTTAATTCTGACACAGCACTTGATAAATATGCTTGGCTCTGGAATTTCTTTCATATCTTTAGCAAATAGCTATGCCATCTTATCTGTGCCTTTTTCTGGTGTACCTCAGTCGAGCCTTTCCATCTATACTCACTGAGTCACTGGACCTCCTGACTTCAAACCTGTGTTACTTCTTTGGTTTCTTAAAACAGAACTCCAACCAGTCTTTCCTCTTCAATACAATTCTTTGCAAATGGTCGTGTCTTAATTGAAAGAGAGTCATACAGACCTGAATTAAAATCTCAAAACAAGGGCTGGAGATGTAGCTCAGTGATATAGTACTTGCCTAATATGCATAAGGCTCTTGGTTTGATCCCCAGCACCACAAGACAAAAAAAAATCACAAACAAAAAACCTCAATATCATTTCATACTATCTGCATGACCGTAAGATAGTAAATATACCTCTGAGCTCTATAGATTTTCAGTGTCTGACACATAGTAGGTTTTCCTGTGTGGTTACTAGCTCTTATTGTGACCTATTATTACTGCTTTTGTTGTTACTTTATGCATCATAACTCATCTTCCTTCATCACATCATCTTTCTGCTGAAAATCCACAAGTCATCTGTTCTTCCTCAAATAAAGAACAAGTCAGCTCTGCATTCATCCAGCTTCTACTTTGTGTCTGCTGTGCAATGGTGGGGTAGTTACGTAAACTTCCTGTGCTTCTGTTTCCACTGTTATATAGAACGGTGCCTTCCTCCTGGTTATTGTGAGGAATAAATGTATACGTCCACGTCAAGTGCTTACCATAGTACCTGGCCTATGGCCTCACAGTTAGGCACTGTATCATTGCTATCTAGTAACAGTAGCAGCAGCAGGAGTTAGCGCTATAGTAACTACCACTCCTATGCGCCGACATCCCACTCACTGCTTTTTTCACTGCAAAGCCTATTTTCATGCATGCTTTTGCTTAATCTGCTTTCTTCTCTGTGTACCATACTTTGTGGCTTCTACTAGGCATAAATGTGTATTTAAGTATTATTATTCATGCCCAAATTAGTGTGGCGTTGCTCTGAGTTCAAGACTTTGTTGTCCCTCTCTCTTCCACTTGCCTCTCATAGGTGTTTTTTTTTTTTTTTTTTTTTTAATAAAGTTTGGAGCCAGAAAGTGCTTTTTGTTCTCTTTCCTTCTTGTCTAGTCCTAGCCCTGTCCAATCCTAGGCACAGTATACATGTTTTTCAGTAGCACATATGTCAGGGAACAGGGTCAACAGTGTGTGCCTTGGCCACCAAATCACTCATTTTTTTATACTTTTTAAAATTTAGATTATATGTTAAATATGGCATCCAGGCAATTTTTGAGAGGGAAAAAATTGGGGGTCTATTTATTATGCTTTGATGACTTCTATTCTTAATGATAATAAAAATCATGTACCTGGGTGGACTGGGTTCTCTCTCTCTCTCACTTCTCTCTCTCCTTTGCGGTATTGGGGTTTGAACTCAGGGCCTCATGCTAGCACTCCACTACTTGAGCCACTCTGCAGCATACTGGGTTCTCATAGAGACCCTTTATGCGGGTATCATCATTGCATAATTTTATTGATAAAATACCCAGTGGGTAAAGCAGCAGAGCCAGGAGTTAATCCCAGGTTTGCTAACCTCAGAAGACATGTTTGAATCCAATACCAGGATGCCTTAATTCACCTAGTTTTAATGATACATGGGCAGAATGCTTCCCTTTAAAAATCACATCCAGGCCTGTTATAGAAGAGATATACAGGGTAGTGAAATTACGCAGGTTTAGAGTCAGAGTTGGCTGTATCTATAGGGCAAACCATATGGAGCTGTTGTTTCTCAGTCAAAAATGGCTGACTGCCAGCAATTTCATTTGGTTTTACTTTTCATCATGAGCAACTGACTTGTGATTATTTAATCATTTTGGCTTCGGTGTTTCCCACTATGAAAGAATGCCCTGAGATTTGGTGGTCTTTCAGCTTTAAGAGTTCTAAGAGAAAGAAAGGTTATAATAGACCATGGGTTATGAAATTCATATACAATTCCCCAGTCTTACCAAGGAAATATTTTTCTTCTGGGAACTCACTTTAATGAGGAATATACTTATCTTTTTTCAATAAACATGTCTGTTAACTGGGGGAATGTATGAGGTTGAACGCTACACAAAATCCCCAAAAGTAAGCAAAACTGTCTTGCAGTAGAAGAGATCACTGTACCTGTACCTTCTTGTGGTTTTTGTAACAAAGCCAGTAATAGGGCTGCTGTCTCTGGAAGAGTTAGTAGTTGGGGATTTGAGCTTCGTCTTTCTGGGGAAACAAAAATGTATGTAGGCTCTATTAGTATTTAAATATTTATGTAAAGAAATTCTATTCTGCTATGTTATAATGTTAGAAAAACTTGTATGAAATAGAGTTTTGAGCTCTAAGCAAAGAGCATACAGCATACTAAGTTTGATACATTGGAACATTTCACACTTTTATTGGAACTGACTTCCAAAGAGTCACGTCACTTTTACATGCAGGGTATGGAAGAAAATGTTCAACTATATACTAAAGAGAAAATCATGAAAGCAAACAGGATTAAGAAAAAGAGTACATGAGCAATGTCCCTCTTCACAGCTTAAAATGGGATGTCTGGGCAGGATGTGAGCCTGCTTGGAGTCTAGAATGCCTACTTTCTTCATACCTTCTAAGAAAGTTTTAGATAACAATATATATTCCTGGCCACATACAAGGTAATTAGTTGACTGAAAAAGCATCTGCTAAACATTCAAAGTTATTTCAATTCAAATTGACAGAGACACTATCACAATTCAACACAAACCTTGATTTTTAACTTGGAGACAACAGAAGGGAAAACAAATCCTACCCAGGGAAAATAAATAATCTTAATGATACTGCAAGCCTGAAGAATGGAAACAAAAATTTGTTTAGCACCTACCATGTGCTCAACACAGTGTTTGATATTTTTCAAAACAAGTATACGTTTTATCCTTAGCATCTGAATTTTAAAATTTAATCAAAATTAATTGAATTGCTATTTTAAAATTCAATGACACAGAAAGGTTTATCATTAAAAAAATAACAGTCCCTGGCCCCATTTTAATGCCCTCCCCCACTTAACTGGTTTTGAACCTTTTGAAAGCTCTTTCTTTTTCTCCTCCACTACTTTTTATTTCAAACTTACAGAAAATTTTCTAGAGTTTCCTTTTTATTAGTGCATATTTCACATATGCATACATTATAATTTGATCAGATTTACCACTTATTTTGCTCTTTATATTTTACCTGTCCCTTCCCTGTATTTTTTTAATCTATTTATTTTTCATTATCATATTATTGTTGTGCTGGGGACACATTGTGACATTTACAAAAGTGCTTACAATGTATCGTAGTTGAATTCACCGCGTCCTTCATTCTCCTTTATAACCACCCCCTCCATTCCTCGAACAGTTTTAACAGGTCTCATTTTTCCATTTTCACACATGAGTACCTAATATTTCCAACATATTCACCTCCTGCACCCTTTCCTTGTGCCCATCCCCACTCCCGTTGGTACCAACCCCCGAGACAGGACCTGTTTTTACCTTCCTGTTCTCTGTTTTTGAAAAAAAGACGTTTTTGTTTAAGACAGCTATACTGGGAGTTTTCCTTGTGACATTTCCATGTATATATGAATTATAACTCGAATTTGCGCATCTCCGGTATTTTTCTCCTTTCTACCTTAGTCCCCTTCTTAAGGTGATTTCAACGGGTTTAAAAATTCTGTATTCATTCTTGTACAGAAAGTACATCACTCATTTTCCCTCTCCCGTTAGGCATAATTTTGCAGCTCGCAGACAATTATTTTTGTAACGATGCTAGAGTTAAACACTAATAAGAATAACAATTCCCGCGATGCATGCATTTCTAGAGGACTCGCGCAGTTCTTTCCAACGGTCAGAGCAGAACCCCAGGCCCTGCCGGGCCCACCCAGGGATCGATGGCCGCGCCCTCGCTGTCGTGGTCACTCACCCGGAGGCAGCCGCTCCAAGGCGCCCTTCCTGCGGCTCTGGTCGGAGATGAAGCGGCGGCCTTCTGCGAAGGGAGACGCGGGCTCAGCGCGGCCCTGGCCCGGCCCGGCCCGCAGGTGTCCCTTGCCAGCCCGCGCTACGCCCCGCCGCGCGCATCACAGCCAGGGTCAAGTTCACAGCCAGCGCGCGTAGGTCCTCAGGCAGAGTCCCCGGGTTTTTAGATGTGATCTAGCTTGGAGCCTGAACTACCTACTTTCTCCCAAAGAAGTTTGAGCTAATCAACTACATTTTTGACCACATAAATTCTTTGACTGAAAAAGCATCTGCTAAATATTCAAGTTATTTCAAATCTAATTTGATAGAAGACACACAGCCCCGACTCACACAAACGTGGATTTTTAATTTGGAGGCAACTGAATGGGAAAACAAAAGTTACCTTCCGAAAACAGATAAGCAGCCTTCGGCCTTAGGATGGAGGATTTCCAGTCATTAGGGAGTTTTCCTGCCCCCCTTCCTGCACTGTCCCTCCCCCACCTCTCCCTGGATCACCTGAGACCAGGATGACCTCAGTTATTTCAGGCGGCAAACTCTGGTATTATTCTCTCCACAGCTCTCCATCTATCTGCTCATGGTGTCACACATCCCTAAGGGGTTTCCATTATGGGAGGAAGAGCAGAGTATTTGGGACTTACGTGCTCCCCTCAGGTACAGCATAGCTTGGGGAGTCCAGTTCCTTCTCTCAAAGAGTCTCTACAACGGGATGGGGGTGGGGAGAAGAACAGGTAATAAAACATTGCTGCCCAGTCCTCTATTTGGAGAAGAGAGAAAGAGAGATAAGGAGATACAGAGAAAGATAGAGATAAGGAAAGAGAGATAAAGGACAGAGAGAGAGAGCAAGACAGAGAAAGAGCAAGAGACAGACAGAGGGAGAAACAGCATCCATTCAGGAGCCCTGCTTTGATCACCTGCGGAGCACTGCTGGAGTTTCTCAGGACAGAAAATGCCAGGAGAAGGGCCAAGGTGGTTGCAGCCAGACTTCTGGGTCCCTACATGCAATGATTGACCAGAGATGTCATTTCCGTGCTCATAGGATCATCTGCTTCATTCCTACAGGCCTGGACAACTAAAAACCCCTTACTTCAGGCTATGTTCCATCTTAATATTCAGTTTGTGGAGGGATTCTCCCATACTACCTTCTACTTACTCCACAGAGTCCACTTTAACAAATTGTTAAGAAACATTTTCATTACCTCACCCAAATGAAGGATTGGGTGCATAAGTGAATTTTTCTCAGTAAAACAAAAATAATTCTACTATATTAAAGGCATAGGGCTCAAATATCCTTTGACCTCTAAAATTCTCATTAAACATAAGGAAAAGCTATAAAGTCTTTTTTTATAAAATAGCTAAAATATTTCAAAGAATAAAAATGGCATAAAACCTTTGCTCACCTTCATGTTTTGCTCCTTTTCAGAACCCTGCAACAGCTACAACTTCACCGTGAGTGTTCTGGTTTAAAAACTTGGGGTTTTTAAAGTCTTAGTGTCCAGGACTGCTCTCCATCTGCATAGAGGTGAGGAGTCCACAGGGATGACTTGTCAGTCTTCAAGGCTGAGAGTGTTTGATGGCTTCCCAAGGGAGATTCAATTGCCGGAAGTAGAGGGATGTTGATGAGTGGACATCATTTGTTTAGATACTGATCTCATCCATCAGGATGAGGATTCTGAATGGATCAGCATCATTGCCTTGCTTTTCCTGTTAGCTGTCCAAAGCATTTAACCATCATCATCATCATTATTATTAATGAAAACAATCAATGGTCTAGGGCAGAATACAAAACCAACAAAGTAAGTGATTAGCTATTGCACTATCATTGATAACTGAAGATGAATCACAAGTAAAAATGAAAAGGTTAGGGAATCTCAATGGAATTTGATTTTGGTTATTCACTTAATTAACCATCTACTCAGTTATTTAACAAATATTTATCAAAAGCCTACTACATGTCAGTCAATCCTCCTTTTACTTCAAGGGATGCAGCCATGCACTAAAAAGATGTGGTCTCTGCTTTGATCAAGCTTACCTTCTAGTCAAGCAGAAACACTCTGAACTGGTGGACAGGTAACTAAGACAATTACACAACATTTTAAATTATTAAGTAAAGGCAGGAAAGATGACATGATGGGGTAAATGGTAGGCAACTCCAGGGAAGGTAAATGTCATAGGGACTTTTCAAGGACCAGGCAGGGTGAGACATGGGATTGGGAAGGGTACAAACTATTGAGATGTGGGATTGGCAAGAGTGCAAGTTAGTATTCCAGGCATTCCTTGAAGAAAAACAAAAAGCAAAATCTAGGGACATCAAAGAGCTTGGCTTGTTTAAGGAGCAGGAAGTTGGGAGCAAAGTGGTGGGGGTGACAAAGAAAAGCACTTTGAAACACAGTTGGACAGGAGGATATAGAAGTGTGGTATAAGCAAAAGATGGTGATGGCCTAAACTAGTGCAGAAGTAGCAAGGACTGGAGAGCTAGAATGATTTGGGGATGTATGTTTGAGGCAGAAAACAGGTCTTGTGGATAAATGAGAGTATGAGAAAAACATTAAGGATGCCAATTGGATTTTTTTGCTGGGTGGGTGCTCTACCACTTGAGCCCCATCCTCAGCTCAGATTTTTTTTTGCTTAAATGTTGGGTAAGTGATGACACAATTTTTGGAGACCATAGAGACTTCTTAAGGAACCAGTTAAGGAAGATAAATTAAGAGTTCCTGTAGGGCACACTATAATTAACATGTATAGTCCACATCTAAGTACAAGTATGATGTAGGCATTTGGAAATACAAACTCTATAAACCTAGCAAAGAGGTCATCAGATGATAGATTTTTTTTTAAAGCAGGAATGATCAGCTTTAAGAATATTAAGAATTCTAAAAATTTTAAGTCAGGAAAAAGTCTGGGAGTGGATGGAACAAGAAAAGAGGTGGGGGCAGAGCTATGAAAACAAAGGAGCAAAATGAGCAGATAAAGAGCCAGAAAAGAAGGCTGAGGTACAGCAGTCAGAAAAAGGAGAAATTTCAGGGGAGCCTGACATCACAGAAGCCAAAAGAACATTTAGTAAAAAAAAAAAAAAAAAAGATGAGATCCACGAAGTATCCAATGAATCTGGATGTATGGTGATTTTTGAGGAGAAAAGCAAGATTGAATGAATTGAATAGTAAATAAAGTCGAGTGTGGGCAGTCTCTAGAAATGTCACAAAAGGGGCAGAAGGAAAAATGAAGAATCTTTTTTTTTAAAGATATTTCAGTGTGATGGAAATTTGTTGCTCTTTATGGCATTCCTGTATCATCTGAACCTTGTCACTTTTAGGAATTTCCTAAAATACCCTCAATTATGATCTGTGGAATTATAAATGTTATTGGAGGTAGGTTTCTCCAACTATTAGACTAGCTGAAAATGCCAGATCCTTAATTTTCACACTCCCTACAGGTAGAGTGCAGGCACATTGCTCTGGGGTCACCAATCAGATATTTGTGTTCCGATGGAGGCTTGAGCAGCATGCCCTGCTCAAGGATGGAGGGATATCCTGGTGTAGCAGTAGCTGTAGGCAATTGATTTTCTGGAGTAATACTGGTTATAGTGCTAGTGTTCCATTTAGGATTGAAATATGAAGAGCTAGTGCGGTCTGTTTGCAAATATTTGGAAAGGACAGATTGGATTTCGGTGCTTGATATTTAGACTTGACAGCCATGTTAAGGACAGGAAAATGAAGAGTTGGTTAGTAAATGAGGATGAAAATAGAAAGCAGTTTGCAGGTAGAAACTCAGGGACTATTTATGCTCTTCAAGGAATAAGTAAAGAAATCAAGGGCCAGTGCTATGAATGCAGTGTTTTATATCTACTGTCATAGGAAAGAAGACAGATAAAACCTTAGGATAGTAAGAGTGCTGATGAAACTGGATAAAATTAAACTAAAGCTTCAAATATCAGATTTTAGAAATTGAAATCCATAGGATTGTAGCAAATACCTCCGAAAGAGCGACAAAGGATATATAATATGCTGTGGTTGTTTTAAATGATGTAATGGGTGAAACCCAATTACCAGGTTACCTCAATAAAACACCTTTCTCCTTTTTCCATACCAGAAAACACAAAAAAGGTTTTAGAAAGAGGGGCAGGAAGATGACCAATAAAACATGCTTGAACTTTTCACTCTTAAGGAAAAGTAAACATGCTTTGTTATGATTGTTTAGGGAGAGAATTCACAAGTAGATGTTTTACGTCAAAGCTGCCATTTTCAGTTTCATATGCGCCAATGAAGGGAATGTTTTGTGACATGTTATCAATATTGCAGTCTTACAAAGAAACATGCCGGAAATGTTTGCTCTCAAAGGATTTCCAAAGGGCATTGGTCCCCAACAGAATATTTTGTTAAATCACAAAACTTTTAAGATTTTACAGGTCTAAACCAAGAGAGGCAATAAGCTATATTGAAGAAACAAATATATAAGTTATATATAAGAAACAGGTGATAGGTCAAACTATTGAATTTTATTGTGATAATATGACAGGGTGTTGAACAAATAGGCCCCAACATTTTTCTTAGAAGCATATTCAAGGGTATTTCGCCTCCATTACTGAGGTTATTTGAATCCTTACAGTGATTATAGGGTATCCAGGCCCCATTAAAACAGTCACCACCTGTCACCATTTAAAGAGATTCTTTCAGCTATGGCATACAGAATGGAGCATTATTCAGCCACAAAGAATAAAATGTCAGTAGCAGAAAAAAGGATGAAACTAGAGGTTGTCATGTTAAGTGAAATAAGCCAGATGCAGAAAGACAAGTATTACATCTTCTCTCATATATGGAATCTAGATTTTTTTTTTTAAAGATGACCTAGCAGGACCACCAGGAAAAGGTAAAGGATTCAGGGGGAGAGGGGAAGAGGAGAGAGTAAGAGGGATGTGGGAGTGTGGATATGATCAAAGTATACATAGAAATGTCACAGTGAAATCCATTAATATCTACAATTAATATATATCAATAACTGTAGAATAAAGACATTCATTCTGTCAGGTGATTACTGTGCTCACAAGGAGAACAGCTGGTGTCTTGTATAAGGCTATCTGAATATGGTTACTATGGCACCAAAATATCCAAACTGCCTTTTCAATAACAGAACAGAGTGTGGCTTGGTATAGTCTGAATGAAACCATGGGTTCAGTCTCCTACTTTGGCTTTGTTCTCTGCCAGGGGTCAGTTGTCTCATCAACAGGTTGAAAAAATCATTTCTAGACAGGGCAACCAATTTTAGGAGGGGTGTTAGGGACATTAGGAAGGCTTGCTATCTAAAACAAAACTTCCTCTTCATTGGCTAATGTCTTTACCCAGCCTGACTTAAGTGATTACCAGTGAAATCCCACCCTGGGAAGATAGATAATGTAGTAACTGTTTACAAATCCTTCTAGATTGTTTCCCCTGCACTACATATAGGGGGAGGGAAGGTCTTCTGAGGAAAGTTAAGAGAAATACTATCTAGGGAATTGAGGGTAAAGAAAAGTGAAAAGAGGCTAAAAAATTTCACCTGTTTTGCACTGTTACCTAGATTACTTTAAACTCAGTTCCAAATGTCTGGGCATTGTATTTATGAATTAATGTATGGCTACCATGACTACAGGATAACTAATATTGCATGGTCGTTAGTGGTAGACTAGGATGTGTCAACTACGGTTTTTTTTTTTTTTTTTTTTGTGGTACTGGTGTTTGAACTCAGGGCTTTGCACTTGCTAGACAGGCGCTCTGCTTCTTGAGCCATGCTTCCAGCCCTCAACTCAGCTTTATAGCTGACAGAAAACCCCTTTTCTGTGAGGCCAACACAACATAATAAGAGGAGATCACTGGGGACAACACAGAAGAGTTGGAAGAATGAACTTTCATTTATTCCATTAGTATTCACTGGGTACCTGTGAAATATCAGGAACTGGAGGTACAAATATAAGAAGAGGTCTGAATTCTCCAAATCCTCTGTCACCAAATAAAGGTAAAACAAATAGACAATTCTATGAGAGGACAAGAGGGATCGGCTGTCTTGGTCTCGTGGGTCAGGGAAGATGACAGAAGAAGCATTTTGATTAGTCCTTGAGAGCTGAGTAGTCATGCAAAAGCATGATAGTCAATAAATTTTGGGCAGGCTACTTCTGTGCTCAGTCTCCTGCATGGATGATACAGGTAGCAGAAGGACAGAGGTTGGAATCTTTTAGCCCAGGATGAGCTTAGAGAGATAAGCTAGATATTTAATAACAGTTTCAAGACTTCCAGTTCCCCTGACAACTGTCAAGACTTGCAGTTTCATTACTGGGTTCAACAAATACTTTCTGGGTACCTTCAGTGGTAGATTTGGTCAGTGGTTTTTTTTGGCCTTAACAAAATTTATGATTAAAATACTACAGATATGAAGTTTTTAAACTTAGGTGACAAGTACTTAACTATGATACATTCCTTTTATTTTCAGAAAATACAGTTCACTTTTAAAATTTCGTAACTAATGATAGAAATCACAGCAGATATCAGTAAATGGTCCCAACTGCCTGTAGTGATAAAATTTCAATAGTAGGCTTCTTAATACACAAATAGCATGACAGTTCTTAATCCCTAGGCTTACATTAAAAAAAAAAAACCCTCCAATAAGTTGACTACATATACATAGAACTGCACAAGAAATCACATCTTGAAAGAAAATTCCCAGAGTTAAAGCTAACATCACCTCCCCTCCCCCCAGATACCTTCTGAAAACACAAATCACTCACATAGCTGAAAGGTAGACAGTCTATGAATTCTTGCTCGGAGGAAACAAGTTAGGGTATCCTCATCACAAATTATTCCACCACCATATTTGCAGTACACCTCAGGATGAGTTACTTGGAAACAAGGCTAAGAATTTACAAGTAATATTAGAGTTACAAACTCTCCATGGACAGGCACCACATTTTATTCTGTCTCTCATATTCAGTAATGGACACTTTTAGCTCTCAGGAGATAATGTCTGTTAATAACCAATGCTTAGCAGACAATAGTCTAATGTTTTAAAACAACATACTGCCTGAGGTGAGTAATTTTAATACTTTTCAAAATTGAGTGTTTCTGCTCATCTAAATTTTATTTGTATAGGTGATTACATTTAAATAACATAGAAACAAGCTGGTGTGGTAGCATGTATCTGTAATCCCAGTTACTCAGAGGTGGAGACAGGGGCACTGCAAGTTCAAGAGTAGCCTGGGTGAAATTAGTAAGATCCTATCTCAAAAACAAGATACAAACAAAAAGGAATGGAGGCATTGCTCAAGAGGTAGAGTGTATGTGCCAGGCCTTGGGTTCAATTGGTACAATTTAGAAATGAAAGGTGTGAAGACCATTTGATAGATAAGAAGAAAGTTGCATATATGGTTAAATTTTAAAAAATGAAGTGGGTTATTTTACAGTGCTAAATTAAGTTTTAGAATTTCAAAATAAAAATACACTTGATCACCAATTACTATAAAAGTACCCTTTTATTGAGAGGTAAGACAAGTGTATTTACAATATTCAGTTGTTAAGATTATATAATCTGACCGTGAGACTTTTAAAGCAGCAGTATTCCGGGGATTACAATTTATAAGGGGAAAGAAAAACATTCCACATGTTTCTGTTACAGAAAATACATTTGAACAATGACAGAAACACTTAAGGCTAAGTAGTGTTAGACCTTTTCCTCCATCTTAATAGAAATGATCAAAGTACATTTTTGTCACAAACACACAAGGCTGATTTTGGAAGGGAGAAAAACCCAACGTGGCTTCTGTAAGAGGGTTAGTACGTTTAAAAATAGAGCCTTATTCAGGTTGAGTAAGAAATACACAATGCTGCCAGGCAGTCTCAAATTCGTATTTGACAGTATTTCACTGCACTCATTTGAAACTGACAACTGCTCCCGCCCCCAATCTTACAAAGGACCAGGGATTATCACACCTCTTCAAGCCCAATAATGCTTTCTGATAGAAGACTGTTGGCAAGGGGGTCTAAGCAACAGTACAAAGAACATCCTGAGAGGAATTCATGTCTACAAAGGAGTTAATGATATAGCTGTTCCTTACACTAACAGACACTGTTCTTGCTCTAAAAAGGGAGGAATATCTAGCTACTGTAAATAACATGGGTAGTCAAAAATATATAGAAGAGTCCTATAGGGCACCTTATGTAAGTCAGTTCTCAAAGTATATACATTTGACACTCTCCAAATGAGGGTATTACGTTTTGAAGAACATCAGACATAACACTAGGTCTTATGATTCCTTGAACTATTGAGGTAGGAGTCTCCATTTGTCTTATTTTCACAGATTACATCATAAGTCAAATGCAAGTACCAAAAGTCACAGTCATCCAAAGACTGAGCCATCACGCTACAGACCAATCTTTCTGTAGATGTTGGGAATTCTTTGTGTAAGAAACTTAGCTAAAAATAACTTCAAATGCTGTAATGTGCTTTGTAGACATGTTTGCAAGTAAATACCACAAATTTCAATTATGATTGTATGTATTAAAAAGTTTTTCAACTGTTAAAAATAAATAATGCAATCATTAGTGGTGAAGGAGCCAGCTGTGGCTATTGAAATGTGTTCCTACATCTACACAAAAGCTGCCAGCATGGAAACTGAAGAAACAACTGCTGTTTTTTACTGCCTGTCAACCAACAATGCAAGGAAAAGAAACAAACCATTTTAGCATCAGGTTTTAAAGACACCAGAGCCAGTTTAATTATAGTAAAATAACTTTACATGTGAATTTGGGTATTTTCACCACCAGGTCAGGGTGAAGAGTGACTCATCACAGGAAACATGACATGCACAGTGTGAATTTTGTATGCTGTGAAAAATAAGAGAAAACTCCAGATCAAATGAACAGACCTCACAAACAGTTACAGGCTTAACCTTTGAACATGGCACATCTCTTAAAGCGAGCACTACTGAAAGTTAGTTATATTTTAATTTGGAAAAACAAAGTAAACCACTGCCAAATTTAAAAAATAAAGAAAAACTACATCATGGCATGAGAAAATTCATTTGGTTTGCATCATTTAGTATCTCAAATAAAAATATATTCAGAAAAACAAGCTGTGTAACAGACTACTGCATGTTGAACGCTTACATGTGATGAACCACAGAAAACAGATATGCAGGCGTTCGCACTAAGAAGTATGAGTGTTTCCAGGGTGTGTCACTGACCAAGAAATACTTTATCAGCTACAATTTTGTAACCAAAACTTAGCAAAGAATGACCTTTGCATATTCCAACAAAGAATACCTAGATCAGATTTCTATCTGGCTTTACAATATTAAGATTCAGAGCCATTAAAGTTTTATTTTAGCTACATTTACAAAAAAAAAGTGATTTGTATATGAAAACTGGGTTTTCTTTGGGTTGCATATATAAAAGCAACATAATCTAATCCATCCCATACATCACATTCAGAGACCCAGTGAAATTGGAATTATTTTTGCAATCACGGTGGACATTTATAAAAAGTAAATGCCTGTGGATGTTTCTAACCTTCAAACAAACAAACAAACAAACAAACAAAAGAACCCCAAAAAAGTAACAGGCACTACAGTTCTCCAAGGATGGCTGTGTTTTGCACATTGTGAAAGACAATAAAAACAGCCTTCCAGAGTCTCAATGCGCATCGTAACATGAGCTTCACCCACAGTTTGCTTGTGAATTCTCACACCACGTGATTAGAAGCCTGTTTGCACTGCTTCTTGGCTAACTGCTGTTGGTATGTTGTAGGCTACACGTTTGCAACTTCTGTAAAGAACATTACAAGCTATTTCATGAAATTTAACTTTGTGCTGAATATTCTTCAAAAGATTTTATAAATAAAACGGTATTTTAAAGGAGTCTTCAAATTCACTGTTGTTATACCATGTTGTTGCTTTCTCCAACTTTATCTACAAACTGTAAGAAAAAAACATAATTAAATGAAAGCCTACAACATTATAAACATTACTCGATATCTTAAATGTTGATTTAAAAAATCTAGCTTTACAAGATTTGTGGAAATTCAAAGTATGACTGACAATGGTTAATCCAGTATTACTCACCACCATCTTCTGACATATACATGTATACAAAATTATCTTTGTAAAAGTTATTTTTGCATGACATGTTATATATATGAATTTAAGGGTGCAACATGAAAAAATGCAACACAATGAATAAAAAAATTGTATAAAATGAAGTTAACACTGCCAGCTTAACAAAAAATTAAAAAAACAAAAACTTGAAATGTCAGCCATTCATGCATTAATGAACCCAATAAGATATTTCAACTAACCATTACTGTGGATCTCTTCTGGGCCTATGGAGTCTTTGAACAAACAGATTTAACTCCATTAAGTTCAATAATTAACAACGGCTGTTGACTAAAAATACTTTAAATGTGTATTCTGGACTTCAGACTCAAAGCGGCAATGGCATTAAAATATATTTAATGTTGCAAACATAAATTTTAATTATTAAATACAAATCTTAACACATTAATGTAAATGGTTACCTACTTTGTTCTACCTCAAAGCAAAGCACTTCAGCTTTCTTAGCATTCTAAATGGTGATGTAAACATTGAAACAAAGTATACAATTAGTGGAGGTATTAAAAGCTATATAAACCAACTGGTTATAATATTATCAAATACTAACAATCATCTAACCATTTCTTTTATTTCACTCTTTGTGGTTCTTAGATGTTTATTATGATGAAGTAATAATGATATGTAAACATGACCCACTGTACTGGGTATCCATTTATGCAAATACCGCAGAACTCTTAAGTAAGGACACAAATGATTATACCTAGCAATTTCAGTAAATTCAAAAGTCATTGTAACTATAAATATCATTACTACTGTATGAGTCTAGAGATAAATGCAAATGAAATCAGGACATACCTGTATAAGCCTATGTTCCAACATTTTATACTACCACAAATAGGTACTGAAACTCCAAAGGTTGTTTTGAAAGTAGTCATGGATTCACCAGAATTTTAAGGTAAATTTCAGTGGAGAAAAAGCACAATGTTCTCTTCTCCAAAGATAAGTTCAAATTTCTAGGTTTCTTGGCTGTGAGTTTCTGATGCTAAATCTGGGGCCTGAAGCAGGATCAGGCTTACAGTGATACTTGTGCTCCTATGGGAAGCCATCCTTTAGCTCTTTGAGAGTTCAATCAATGGTATGGACTTTCTCTCTAGAAACAGCTACAAAAATCTGCAAACAACTTTAGGAAGTTGACAGATTCCCTGTACCTAATCATACCTTGAAGTCTTTAAAAAAAATTTTTTTTTTTAAATTTGTTGTACGGGGGGATTCATTGTGACAATTCCAAATAGGCTTACATTGTATATTGGTTAGAATGTCCCCACCATCTGTCTCCCCTACTTGGTCCCCTCCCTGCCCTACTTCCATCAATTGCAAGAAGTTTCATAGTTCTGTTTCATATAGGTATATGAAGTCCATCAACCATATTCCCTCACCTTAATCTCCTTCATTCACTCTCCCCCAGCATGCCAACACCCCCCATCCCAGTACCTATTTACAGTCTTTCTGCCTTTATCCCAGATGCTCAGAACAAACGTAGAACTATGAAACTGACCAAAAGATGACTGTGGATTAGGGTTACTCCTGATGTAAGTCAGCTCTAGAGCCAAAAGGATTATTCCCAATTCAGCTAAATTCCAGGTTCCCCAGATTCTTCTGGATTAAAACATCTCACCTAGCTTTAAAACTAAAAGAAAGTCACCTGGAGTTGTCTTGAGATAGGTTTAGTTCTCTGAGATCAACAAAATGCTATTGTTCATTCATTCATATAGCAAAAATATCTTAAGTTCACATTATATGCTGTATGCTACCATGGACACTGGGGGAGGAAAGAAAAGGTTAAAAAATACAATCTATCTACTCTTGAGGACAGTAGTTTCATGTATAAGCCTTTTTCTTTTCCTTCTTTTTTTCCCAACAATTAAAACAGAGGTAAATGCCATGATAGAGGTGTGTGCAGGGATGTTAATAGGAGCACATCCTGAGTCAGGTACTGGGAATCAGGAAAGCTTTTTCGAGGGAGGCAATAAATAAGCTGAATCTTGAAAGGCCTCTATGTGTCCACAGAGAGATAGGCCAACCTTCACTCAAGCTAGCTTAGTACTGAACATTTGTCCAATGAATACTTAATGAAGGAAAGAAACTTTTCCTGTCAATTCCTATTTATTTATTATCTGACTTGACTTCTTTATTTTATAATATGGAAGCCAAGGCCCTTCAGATTCACCAAGACTGCTCAAACTGTAGACAGAGCTGGGAAGAGTCTTATCATCTGACTCAGTGTAATAGTGCATAAACTGTCTTACCTACTCCATCTGGTGATATAAGTATTCCTAAGAAATAATGGTTTCCTTTTTATATCATTGCCTCTAAATTTAGAGATTATATAAAAAATAATTGAAAAATGTCTTAAATTCTCAAAGAGAAAGGCAGCACAGAAGTATCAATCTGAGTAACATTAAAAATCTGAGAACAATACTAAGAATGGATATAGTGAAATAAAATTTTAGGTTTTACAGGTTTAGCAATAGTTATTTTCTAGTATTCATGGTAATCATGATCTATGTGATATCACCATTTATACCATAGTGAGAAACTCATCAATGAGTCACATATCAATTATTCAAATTTCTTGAAGGACAAGGCATCGAAATGTATTCATTTCGGTGGTTTTAAAAAATGCATTGTGAAATACATGATTACTTACTGATCTAATTCCAGGTAAATTTAAGAGGGATCCAAGGACTGGTACTCTTCTAATAAAGCCAATGACCATAGGAAAGAAGCCTCTGGGAGAGAGAAAAAGGGTTAAGTCTTAAAACTAACACATTATCTGTTCTAAAATTATCGCTAATGAAGTAAGAAAGGGTCCTATTATATTTGTGAAATGTTTAGGAGATTTCACACCTAGAATCATGAGTTATTACAAATGCAATTTAAAATATTTTGATTGTTCAAAATGTTTGAAGAGTGAAATGAAGCTTAGTTGGGCTACATGATCAGACTGTGAGTTAGCTCAGCTCAGCTCAGCTCAGTGGCTGAAGGTCCCCTCGACTGTGATGAGCTGTGTGGGTGAAACTATTTAGAGGTGCTGTTGAGACCATGTGTCTAGAAACATGCAGACAATAATTGCTACCATTCACTGAATAAATGCTAAGTGCCAACATTTAATTAATGGCTGACAGACCACCTGACAGATGGAAATCCTCAAATATGTCACATTTTTTGGGTACAAATACAAGACCGCAGACATTATATAGCTAATCACTTCAGTTTAAAATTAACTGTGGATAAATTAGGCCATCTGTATATAGGAAGAGAAGAAAACAGTTTAAGAATGCACAGGAAATAAACTTTTTCTGGATCTTAAAATTAGAAAGGTGGGGTGAAATATTATACTGGCTAGAGTTCAGGAATAAAACAACAAGATTCCATTATGAATCTGTAGAAGTTAAATATACAGACGAACAGCATTACACAGAAAACAGAATTTTTTTAGCATAGAAAAATAGGTATTATGTTGACAGTATATATGTATGTTTTGAAGACAATAACGCTTTTTTAGTAGTATTAAATTCAAAAGGATCTTTATAGAAATTATTCTTAAACATAAAAATGTATGTTTACAATGCTACTCTTGAGGATGATAAATATTTGAAAAAAGAATACTAAAGACCATTGGTGTTATATCTCAAACAAAGATCATCTCATAGTATAACAAAAGCAACAATAAACTAGCATTTGTGCCAGACACTTCACTACGCCATGAAGACAATGTTTTATTCTTATTTTACCCACAATATTGAGACGTCTCATTTCTATCATTTCAGAAATGATCTGTTTTAATGCTGTTACTGAAGTTCCTATGTAACGGATAAGCCAGAGGGCGTCCCTCCCAGCCTCGCGTGCTCTAGCTGTCTGCGGCAAGGCACAGCTATCATGATGAACTGCTGTGCTTTTCTCTTCCTTCTCAGCCACTATGGTTCCTTTTTCAAAGTTAAATGTTTTGATGTAATACCAAACACACGTCACATGACAATCTTACATAAAAATTCTAAAACACATGGCATCCTCTGGTTATACTTGTGACTAGTTTGGCCACTATGATTCTTACTCTAGTTCTCCTCCTGTCTTCCAGTGTTTCTTTCTCTTCTTTCCCCCACCAAAAATGGCAGAGGCCCCAAGAGTGCAATTTTACTAGTCTTCACCACATCAATCGCATCTTAAACAGCTTCTCTGCCTTCAGTTTTTCTCTTTTCAATATGCACCCTCTATCCTGGTATTAGTACAATCTTTCTAAAACATCTACCTGGCTGTATCATTTTTGGCTTAAAGATCTTTGTCCAATCCCTCCCCCAACTCAGGTTGTTGCCCAGCATGAATCTGGCTTGAGAATAAAAAGAAGCAACCTGGCCCCAAACTTCCTTTACTACCTTGCTGCAAAGCGTTTCTTCTCTGTGTCTCATGCTCCTGTTCTGTGCAGACTATTTACTCTTCAGAACAAGCTGTGTACTTGGATGGATTCTTACTCATTCTTTAAGGTCAAATTAATCAGTTAATATTTCTTACTTCTCTCTGGATTTATTAATTCCTTCCTTAATATTTTGCCATGTCCATTTATAACTGTATCCCACTGGAATCTTTACAGTCTGTTTCCCATATTAGAAATAAGTGACTCCTTAAAGCAGATTTGTCATTTAGTTCACTGGTGGGTGGTATATAGGAGAATAAATACTTAAGGTTGACTACCTTTCTTAAAGACATTTTCTCACATCCATATTTACTTGCTAAATGGCATTTGTAAAACACTAACTGACCAAAATTTTCCAAAGTGTATCTGGTACAAAATTTGTTAATATGTGCATGAACTAAACAAATTGCCACAAATAGCAGTAATTATGAAGTATCTTATTTACATACTAAAATCATCTATCTCTCTGTCATCTATCTATCCATCTACCTACCTACCTACCTACCTAGCTATCATCACTGTTTAGTTGACGAAAATAGCAAACATATATAGTGCCTTTAAAATGCCAACAAAATAAATTTTGTTGCATTGCAAATACTATGCAAGACAGTTTATACTCACTTAGGCAGTCATATTCAGTAAACATTTTTTATATTTGATTGATCGAATATTATAACAAAAGTCTATTAAAGGAAATGAACATCTTATGCACATGTTTCTGCAATAATTATTTGAAACAGTCCTTACCTAATAGAAAATAAAATTAATGCCTCACCTGAACAAGAGAAAGAATCCATAAATTTCGAAGATCATGCCTATCAAAGGCCAACCAATAAGGACTACAAATACACCACCCAGGAAAAATCCTGTAGCTTTCATTTTATGTTTTTGGAAGAAGAATCTGAAAGTTCTTTCTAAGCCAATTACAAAAGCCAAGCCAGCCACAAATAAAACCTAGGAGAGAGAGAGAAAATGCAACACACAAAAAGTGGTTAAACACACTACATAAATTTGAAAAGTAAGGTCAAAGGTAAATATAATAAAAAGAAGCACATGTGTTTGGTTTTTAAAGTGGGCAATGTCCAGAGAGAACTGCAACGCACAACTGAGAAGCAGAACGAGGAGAAAAGTGAAGTTCTGTCCACTTGTGTCCTTCCTCATCTATGTTGGTTAAATGCAGAAGAAGAAGCAAGACATGATGAGCGTCTGCACTTGCCATGTTTTCCCAATGTTGGTTGTAAGGGGATGGCTTAAGTCAAGCAGGTGGGGTGGCAAGGCATGGACATGCCACCTAAAGGTATTCCTGCTGGTTGAAATATTCACCATGGCATGGGAGTTGTCTGTGGATGGAAGAAATGCTGACATGGCTAAGTGGACAGCAGAAGAAAATGCAACATCAGGATGATTACAGTTTTATTTAATTAGAGAATATCTAGGGGCAGCAGAAATAAAACTACAACCAGGTATTTAAAATATACATGTATTTTGTATGTTTTACTGTCCACAGACAAGAAGAAATGATAATCTACTAAAAGCTTGCTTTTTCCTGCATTTTATTTCAAAACATTTACCTCTCACATCAATTTTCTTCAGACAAATATATACATATATAGACAATTATATATATATATTCCCTCACGGTTAAGTTTCATGTTCTTGTATATGAATGCTATTTATATTATCTTTTATTAAAATACCAATTTTACTATCCTTTATCTTTTCCTACTTCCAATTAAAAGTCAGATGTGGGCTGCAGTGTGGCTCAACTGGTAGAGTACCTGCCTAGCAAGCACCAGGCCTTGAGTTGAAACCTCAGTACCGCCAAACAAAAATTTGAAACTGAAAATAAACTTAAAAAATTAAAATCAAGCCAGGTGCTAGTGGCTCTCACCTGTAATCCTAGCTACTTGGAGGCTGAAATTGGAAGGACTGTGGTTGAGGACAACCTGGGCACTTTGTGAGACCCTATCTCAACCAATAGCTGGGCAGCATGGCATGCACCTGCCATCCCAAGCTAAGCAGGAGGCTGAAATCAGGAGGATCATGATTCCATGATAGCCAAGATAAAAAAAAGTTTGTGGGGTGCAGTGGCATGCACCTGTCATTCCAGTGATAGCAGGATGCCTAAAATAGGTAAGACTCTATCTCTAAAATAATCAGAGCAAAAAGGGCTGGAGGTGTATCTGAAGTGGTATAGCGCCTGCCTGGCAAGCTTGATGCTCTGAGTTCAAACCTCCGTACCACCAGAAAAGAAAAAAATGAAATCGAAAGCTGATGGTATCTATGCTCTGAAAAATACTGAAACACTACTCAGAGAAACTTTCGCATACCCTACATGTGGGTAACATTCTATACATTCCATATACACAACTCACACCCTTTCTAAGCAAGCCAGCTTGTAACACAGAGGTGTACTGTTTGAAAGGTTCTAAAGGTAATTAAAAATCTGTTTATTTTATTCAGTTCAAGCAAATGTGAAGCTCAGATGTTTGCAGTCAAAACATTTTAATCAATTTACCAAGACATAGGGCTATCAAGTCATATACTTTGAACTCCTGTTTAGAGATAGCCTTGATTTAATCTATCCTATGGAGTTAGAACACCTCATTAAGTGTCTATCTTTTATTTAAACAGAAAGCTGACAGGTTTCTCTCCTGAAGAAATAGAGAATGTAATAATAATTACACATAAGTAATAGTGAATTATTTCTCCCAAATTTGACAGCTCTAATTTCCTTATGAATTTAGTTAAAATATATATTTAAAAACTCACATTTCCAATAGCCAGTAGTGCTTTGTCAAAAAAGAGAATCATTCCAAAGAACAGGAAAAACACTCCAAATCCTGTTAATCCCATTCCAATTTCTGCAATATAAATTATATGGTTATAGGCAGAGAAAAATTAAAATCACATTAACATTCCTTTAAACTAAGTAAGAAGATTCTTCAATATTTCTTTTGGCTGATACAAGGAAGAAGGTCCTCAACACCACAGGTTAATTTCATGACACTCATTAAGATATATTAACAGCTTAAATTAGTACCAACAAATTGCCCCTGAACTTACAACAGGTAAATTTGGATTTTAAACCTTTGGATATATTTCTTGTGGTGTTAGGCCAGGTTTGCTTTACCATTTCTCTCCTTTCATGGTTTATTATTACTTACATGCACAGTATCTCTAGCTCCTCCTTTTCCTTCTTACAATTAATTCCCTCTTTAACTCATCAGAAATGCTATAGAAGGTCAGTATGATTTACTTCTTTTAATTGTACACCATATCTCACAATGGCATCAAGAAATATTTTGAGAATCATGGTAGCTTTTGTTTCAAAAAAGTCAATTTTCAGTTTTAACTTTTTTTTTTTTTTCTGAGACAAGGTTGGCCTCCTGGGCTCAAGTGATTCCCCCTGCTCAGTCTCTTGAGTAGGTGGGACTAGAGGTTTGTGCTACCATTGCCTGACTCACCTTTAACTTCTTCATGGTTTATTATAAATTTAACATCTATGAATTCATATAAAGTATGAATCTGTTTATATATTTTAATCAAGTCCTAAAATTACCTCTCCAAAATTTCAAAGAAATTTAGACCTAATATTTCTGTTTTAGATTTTTGCTTTTACATTTAAAAACAGGAATTGTTGTTTTCAACTATCTGAGTCCAGAAACTGTTCTGGGTGCTGACTGTGGAGTGGTGAAATCTATGTCCATCCTATATAGCATATAAAATTAGTAAGTATTATTGTCCTCACATTCTCTAGGTCTTACATTTTTAGAGTGAAGTCTTAACTTTCCAAGGTGACAGATATACTCTTTTGTTAATGCTACAAAGCACATTTTACTTATTTTTAGAGAACAGCTACCAATCCTTTTATCCTTTACTCTAGAAGCACTATTGACAAACAGATAACAAGTCAAAGTAAAAGCCCCCAAATTTTTGGAAATTTAAATCAAATACATTATTATTGATTTTTGATGTTACTTAACTTTTTTTTGTCTCAGCCTCGGAAAGCTTAAATCTAGGTCATGAAAATGTTCTGATGATTTAAAAACTTACACCAACTTTACCTTTTTATACATCTTCTACCCCTCAAATTCCTGGTAACTACTACCTTCCATTCTAGCTACTTTTTGCTCCCAAAGTGAATCTAAAGAAATTTACACACCTGTCTATAAATAAACCAGTATAAATGTACTCCACATACACAAATTCCAATGAAAATCTGAGGCTAATTCCTTCATGCTTAAAAGCCCTAAGAGAATTTACCAAACTATCGGACATAATTTCCTAGAGGAAAATAGGAATAAACGAGCAAGCAAAATTCCATTAAATAATTAGGATTTAATCACAGAAGCTCAATTAATTGACTAATTTCCATCTTTTCACAAATTACCTTAATTACATAAAAAATTTTGAGATGTTTGCTCATGAGACAGGAAATTATATGAAAATGTGCCAAGAATTTACCATGAATTAGGTATTATGAGCTATTTCACTCAAGTTTATAAATTAATTCTCGCAAATTATTGGAATGTGGGTATAATTACATCATTCTAGAGATGAACAATTGAAGTTTACAGTTATTTTAAGTTGCCCAATCAAATTCTATACTTGAACCCAAAGCACATGTGTTAACCACTGTAACACACTTCTACACAGAGGACAATTTTTTTTTTTTCAGGTTACATGTTTGGTTAAACTCAGGGGTACTGCAGGGTACTGAACTTCTGGAGGAAGCATATTTAAGTGATCCAAATTTAATATTAGTTTGTTATCTAAAATAACTAAGTAGATGCCAGAACTATCAGAAATTGACTACAGGGAAGAAGGACCTCAGAGTATGGTTTGTGATCTAGCAGTGTTATACATGTATCTCATCATTCCTTTAACAAAATTGTGAGGTACAAAGTAGCAATGACTGCATGATTCATACTGGCAGCCAAGGACCCAGAGACAATTAAATAACTTGCTCTATATCTCAGACTCAGCAGAGGTATGTACATGGGTCGTGGTGGTAGGGTCAGGCTAGAATTCAGATCCAATTTTCTCATTCCACAACCATGGCCCTACAACTGCAATACAGAAACCAAGTATTTCTACTCCTTTATCCAGTGCAGTCAGAAGGGAACAGTTTTGTCAGCATCTTTACCAAAACTAGCTCTGGCATGATATATCAAGTATCCCCTGATCTAAATGGGTCAAAAGACTCGAACTGGCCTCATTTTATGGCCATTTCTCATCTCCTAAATTTCCTTCTTCCCTATTGTACATTCATAAGTCTTTTAACTGTCAAACTCCCTACATGAAGTTACCTTTTTTTCTACCAGGATCATAGGAAAAATAAATTTATCTTCCTTTTGTATAGAATTGTATCTTCATTTCTCCTGCTTGAAAGTTTTTAAAAAATGTAACAAATTGATATAAGCAATCTAAAAGACTAAGTTATTTAACATAAAAAAACCTACTGCAGAAATTTTATAAGGCATAGCATGTATAATCCAATGGCAATCACTGTTATTTTGGTATTTTACTTCCAATTGATTAAAAGTAGCACTTTCTTACTATGTTCTTAAAACACAGAATTAGTAAGAAAAGAATTATCAACTGTAGTGACTACATCAACTGAACAACATGGTAAAATTTTACTCATGTGACAAAATAAAGTGACAAATTAGACACAACATGAAAACTGTCCCCATTCCACCTCTCTGAATAAATGTTGGTTTTTCCTTTTGTTTTTGTGGAGTAGGAGAGAACTATTGTGGAATCTTAAAACAATCGCTAACTGTTCTTTACTGTCTCTGACCAATGCTTGGTCTCTCTCCCAGAACTGAAACCCCAGAACAATCCTGGCACGTTGTTGAATGATGGCCAATACCAGCAGTAAATGCAGACACCCAAACACAGCTCGAAATGCAAAAACCTCTGGCTCACAAATTATTTAATGCGTCAGTTTACCTTCTCACCTAAAATATTTGGTAAGTGAAGAGCAGAGAGTAAAGTTTCATCTTCCTCAGAAATTTAATGAGGTGAGAAGACTTCTCAGCTCCACCCCCTTGTTTTGGACTTTAAGATGATGTAAATTGGGTACTCATCCCTGTAAGCCTTCAATGGAAGAGAATCTATGCACAGGATAATTCAGATTATTATCCATAATATTACAGACTCTGATCATTCTAAGATCTCAAAATTATATCAAGTCTTCTTAGATGCTTGGTGGGGTACAAGGAAAAGAACAAAAGTTTTTAAGACAGGAGAGCAGGATCAAATTTTGTTTCTGTCATTTTTCTTAGGACCATGTATTGACTTTCTTTTGTGCCTTAATTTAATAAGTGGGGTGTGTTTCCTCTCTGCCTTACAAGGCTCATAAAAGAGTTAAGCATAATGACTTATATGAAAGCACATGATAAAATGGAAGAAAATACCTTCATGTATTTGCTAGTAATTGCAGTAGATTCCCCGCCCCCACCACACACAAAAGAACAGAGGAAAAAAACAAAGAGATCTACACTCATATTTTACTTTCTCTGATCAGAACAAAGGAAGAATAGGGTGAGGGTGATGGACCAAAATGGGTAGCCTTCTTCGACTAGAACAGGTGACCCCACTATTCAGATCCAGTTCAGACTCGGGAGTAAAGAGCCTGACTGGACTGACAGTATGTGTAGAAGACCTTAGAGCAATGTGAAGTTCGTCATGACTTAAATTTAAACCTTCAGACTTCACTTTAAAGGGCACTTTAAGTGAACTTCAGGTTTCACATCAATGGACTGCTTAATTCTTAAAACACCTGAAAATCTAAGTTAAACTGCAGAGAGAAATGAAAGGCATGGCAGACAAAGGAAAGTGATACAAAAAGAGGCTATCGTGACCATTAAAAAATAAGGAAGCATAGAGTTTGGGCAGATACCTAAATACAAAAATTCCTAAGATCAAGAAGGGGTAGAAAAGTGGCCATGTTACATTGAAAGAAGTGGAAACAGGTTAGCATCAGCTAACCTTAGAAATGAGATACGCCCTAAGAATTTTCTGGTAGGCAGAAAGGGGTGCTAAAACAATAAAACCAGCCACAGAAAGCAATATACAGAACTATGGAACGAAATCCTTTAGCTGAACACAAAGTGTCTTTTTACCGCCGTAGGAACTAGAGTAGGTTGAAAAGTGAAGTCCCTGCAAGAGTTTTTTCTGGACGGTGGCTGCCAGTGGTGGCAAAGGCAAATATGCAAAACATCCAAGTACATTTGCAAATACAACCCACAGTAGGTGACATCTGAAATATAGCCTCCAAACAACCAACCAGCTAGCGACTCGTACAGCACCCCAAGAATGTCAAGTGCAAGACAGGGCGGGTCACGCATCAAACTTTCTCTGTTGGCGGTTCGTAGGAACAAAGAGCGCATCTCAATGGACATGCGGACCCTAGCGCTACAGTCCCGAGGATGGCCGTCCGACTTCCAGGTTCCCCGCCGCAAATCTAGTCCCTGTCCCCGCCCGGCAGCCCGCAGGTACCGCAGGCCGCCGTCCCCAACCCGTGCTCCATTCATTAACACAGCGGAGGGACCGGCGGGCGAACCCCGAATCCCAACCCAGCGAGGGGCGTGCAGGGCTCGAGGAGGAGACCCCCAGGGCGGATGCTTACTCTGCGTGTCCGTTAAGGAGATCATGTTTGCGGTGGCTGGGGCAGCGGCAGCAACCCCTCGGAGTGCAGGGTGGGAAGCGGTGACCAGAGAAATGAAGCCGGGAAAGCTGCCCAGGAGAGAGCCGCCACGTCTTCCGGAAACACGCAGCCACCGCCACTCCCGCTGCAAGACAGATTTCCATTGGCTAAACGTGCTCCTAATCTGCACCAATAATCCGTGGTCTTGTTGGGTGACGCGCACGCTGGCCACGCCCTTTGACCAATTAGAGAAAGTGGTCGTTGGCGATTGGTTGAGCGCTACGACCCGGAAGGGTGGATGCTCCAGGCTGGTGGCGGGAAGATTTGTGGCTGAAAGAGGTGCGTAGCGGTACTGAGGCCCCGAGGTTTAGGGTTTGGTGACCCGGGTATGGGACGGGGCTCCCCTCACCCCAAGGTTGTTGGTCACTGCCGTTATGTCCTTGAAGGGCGAGAGAGCACCGTCCGTTTGGGTTCTTCCCCTTCCTGCCCGAGGGCGAGGCCGGTGTGTGGCTCACACCCGTTGGCGGGAGAATTCAGGGCGTTGGCACCGCTCTGCGGTCATGGAACGTGGGTCTTTGGGGCGCGCTCGCCAGCCATCGTTCTCTTTATTCCTCCAGACTTTTCCATTCGGGAGATCTGTCCATCAAAGCCGTGGGTTATGGGCAGTAGCGCTAGGGCCCTCAGCTTCACTGTAGCCTCGGATGGCGAGGACTTGGAGGGGTGTGTGTTTGCTGTAGCCTGTTGGACCTCAGTGACATTTCCTCCAACACTGATGACTGCTGTCACTCCGACCCCCCCCCGCGGTTACCTGTCTTTGGCTTCTGAATGACAGAGCTGCTATATTAGCTCACTAGTTCTGAATGCATTTTAGGTTGGGTTATCTTTGCCTGCTCAATTACATCATTTGGGGGAGGAGCAGTCTTCTAATGGCATAAGCAAAGGAGTAGTTTAAGCTGGACGCCGGTGGCTCACGCCTGTATTCTAGTTACCCAGGTGGCAGTGATCAGGAGAATCGCCTTTGGAAGCCAGCCCTGGGCATATAGTTAACGAGGCCCTAGCTCGAAAAAACCCATCACAAAAAAGGACTGGAGGAGTGGCTCAAGGTGTAGGCCCGGAGTTCAAGCCCAGGTACAGCAAAAAAATAAGATAAGGGGGAAAGTTGGACATAGATGTTATCCCTTCCTAAGGGTAGGAGACAGCCCTTGCTTTAGTTTTAGCAAACCTGACCTGACCAAATGCAAAACGCTTTGCTAAGCTATGTGGATGCAAAGGTGAAGAGGCTCAACCCCTGCCTGCCTAGAGGACCCGATGTCTATGGGAGGAGTTTGACGTTTCTGGGAGGCAGTGAAGAGAAGTTTCCATATATAAAGAATTGCAAGTCCTTGGCTTTTAGTGATGTGACCATTGAATACTGTTTAGCAGGTTAAGAAAGTCTCAGTCTATCTCTCCAGTCTTAGAGTGACTTCAGAATTCTGTGTAGGAATAGAATACTTCCATGTAGGAAGTAGTATGAGTAAAGGGAGCAGGGTGCTGAAGCTGCTTTGCAGGAGCGTTTAGAAAATGTTGATTGTCCATACCAGGGAGTTGGGAGAGGTGTTCATAGGGTTGTGAGAATTTAAAGTTCCTACTTCTGGAGCCTCATCTTCCACTTACTTACACACATGCCTAAATTTTAGTCATTAAAACAATACCATTCTTTTTTGTCATCTCTAGCCTTTCCATGTTCATTCCTTCTGAAATCTAACCCAGTAGCCTAGAATATTTGTTTTCCTAGTTAAAGCAAATGCTCAATAAAATGTGAAATGATTAATTTACTTATGTTCATATGTTTTGCTTAATTCGGGACATTTGCATCTGTCCAACTTATTATTTATAAGGTAGGTTCTATCATCCAAGTTTTATAGCTAGGAGAAAATGTCTTAGAGGAATAGGGTGTAATTTTGCTAAGGTCACACAGTAATGTAGTTTAATATTTGCTCTTTTTTTCTATGTCACTTTGTAGGACGGTCGATAATAGGTACTGACATCGTACTTGTCTTTATAAACATCAACTTTGGACACTTCTCTAAAATTTATAGGATTTAAAAAAAAACTGGGAAGAACAATTTAGTCCTTTTTGGAAGGTCATTGCAATGTATAATTTACCTTCTAACATTTTTTTAATTTGTGTGTGTGTGCTTAAGAGTGACAAATTTGTCATTGAGCGTTTTCAGTGGTGCTGTTTCTTTTGGTTTTGTTTCTGTGGTGCTGGGGATTAAACTCAGCACCTTATGCATGCTAAGCAGGCACTTACCACTGAGCTACATCTCCAACCCAAACAGTACTGTTTTGTTTTGTTTTGTTTTTTAAATTGTTACCATGTTTCTTCTTTCATTTTTAGAAGAATTTGGATCTCCAGTTCAATTTCAGGATGGAATCCATTTCAGGTTAGTAGAAGTGATTATGTTGTAGTTCATTCTGTTGTAGTTAGGATTGTATTGTTCATTGATTTTTAAAAAATGCTTGTTTTTAAAAATTCTGGTTATAGTAACGATGATTTTTCAGATTTCTTTATTGTGGTAAAGTGTAATCAGTAGTATTTACCATTTAACTGTTATTAAGTGAACAAGTCATTGACATTAAGTGCATTCATACTAGGATATAACCATCTCCACCATCCGGCTCCAAAACCTCTTTACCATCCTACTGAAACTCTGTACCCATTAAAACTCCTCATTTCTTCCTTTTCCTCAGCCCTTGATAGTTTCTGTTCTTTCTGGGAATTTGACTATTTTAGGCACCTCATGTAGATGGAATCATTAATTTTTGTCAGACTTCAAGTAGTATAATGTCTTCAAGGTCCGTCAGTTTTGTACGTGTATTAGAATTTCATTCCTTTTTAAGTCCAATAGTAATCCATGGTGTAGATATACTATGTTTTGTTTTTGTTTATCCATTGCTGAACATTTGAGGTTTGTTTTTTTTTTAACTTTTGGCTATTATGAATAATTCTACTTCAATATTGGTGTAGAAGTGTCTAAGTTCCACTGTTCAATTTTTTTGGGTATATAAGTAGAATTAGAATTGCTGAATCCACTGGTGATTCTATGTTTAACTTTTTGAGGAACTGCCATACTGTTTTCTACCATGTTGTACTATTTTATATTCCTACCAGCATTTGATAGACTTCTAGGAAGAAAGTATAAAGAAGGAAATATGAATCACTTTTAATCCACTGCTCAATTTAATACCGTTAATGTAATTGTATTATTTTTCAACAAAACTTTTAATGTTTTTTACATATCTTGTAACGTGATTTAAAAAATAACATAAATATAGAATATAGATAAGTTGTTAAATAAATTCTGTGTTGTATTTATTGTTTTTAACACCTTTACTGTGTTTTGTTATTGAAAAGTGACATTATTTATTTATTTAATCTTTTAGTATTGAACTTTTAGGTTGTCTGTGTTTTTAAAATGTAAACAATGCTGCATTGAACACATTTGAATCTAAATCTTTGTGTGCTTCTCTGAGTATGTCTTTAAGATAAGTTCCTTGAAATGGGAGTTATTTGAAGTTTTTTTTAAAGCGTGAAGGAGAAGAACATGCATGAATCTACCTTTCCTAAACAGCCACTCTTTGCATCCATTATTGGTTTTCACATGATTGGATTGCACTGAGATTATACAATGAGAGCTTGCTATCTTGGTGATTGGCAGGGGTAAGGAACTTATAATCATTTTTCAGTTTTGTGTGGCATAATGAATATGGCCTGTGCTACATCTTTCATACTTTCAAAAATGTTTTTCTTAAATATGGAGCAGCACCCACTTCACATCACACACACACACACACACACACACACACACACACACGTCACAACATATTTAAATGTAAATGTGAATACATAATGACGTAAGGTTTTGGGTTACTCTCATGGTTCATTTTCACAGGCTGAAGGTTAGTCATAAGTAGTAACAATTTGTATTAATTAAATGTTTACCCAAGTAGTTTTCATGAAAAAAATGAGACTTTAAGAGATGTTACTGAACTTAGACCCTGTTGAAGTATGGCCATTTTTGGATTCCATATGTTATTTTTATAATAATACGTAAAGCTTTATCTGTGGGGTATGATTTTTAAATGCCTCAATAATGAAATAGGTATATTTTAAGAAGTTATACCCTTTTCAGGTAAACCCACCTCTTCTATTGTTCTACATACTTGTTGAACTAGATTTGAAATTCCTCTTTGAAATTGCCTTTAGTTTGTTGCTTTGGATATGATGGTTTCCATGGGAGCAATTCACTTTCATTGTTAATTTCTGATTGAGATATTGCTAGAAAATATACTGTATCTAAAGAATGGTAGCTCTCATACAGTAGCTGTAAACTTAGGAACTTTGGAGTGTGTCACCCCTCTGCTGGTTCAATATGTTCTTTCTATGAAATAGCAGGATTAAGGCCTATGTACTATAGTCCCTCTCCATTATGGACTGGTGAAATCACTCACATGACTTTTTAGTTTTGCCTCCTACAGTAACTTGAGTTGTATAGGCCAACATTAGAAATGGTATAATTTTGAATAATGTTTAAATACCCTTGCCCTGATGTATTACAACTAGCTGAACTTAATTTTTTATTCTTAGTCTATCAGTATTTTGTTTAAGATGTGGTGATGTTGACTTTGTTGCTTGGGTTGATGTTGTTAACTTTTTTTTGTTTGGACTGGGTTTTGAACCAAGGGCTTTGCACTTGCAAAGCAGGCACTCTACCACTTGAGGCACACCTCCAGCCCCTTTTGCTCGGGTTGTTTTGGAGATGGTGTATTGTGAACTACTTGCCTGGGCTGGCCTCGAACCTCAGTCCTCCTGATCTCAGACTCCTAAGTAGCAGGGATTATAGGTGCGAGCCACCAGCACCTGGCTGATGTTAACATCTTTGTCAGGTACAATTTTAATGAGAGAAGCTGAAGTAGTGAGCATCATAAGGAATTTACTGTAGGGATTAATCCTTATGTGACTGTGGGAGTGGTTAAACTCTGTATATGTTGTTTGTGTCTGGTTCTGGGCCTGATGCTGGCAGAGACAACAGGTGGAATGAGAAGATATGAAGAGGGAAAGCAAAGACAAACTACTATGTAAGAAGATCAATTTCAGTTTCTCACCAGAACCTGTATTAGTCTGTCATTGCCTATCATCCAGTTTCGATGATGCAGCAGACCTGTCAAAAAGCTGGTGTACTTCACCATGTTGTTGCATGTGTTGTGGCAGAGGGGTCATAGGAACTGAAGGAGGAGAACCAACAGGCTCTGGAGAAGCTGTAGACCCAACTATTTCCAAAATGTTGTCTAGCAGTAGCTGGATTCAAGGGCCCTTTTGCTATTCCAGGTCAATGAAGTCAGCAGCTCTGATTGCACACTGACTGCAAATTTGGAAACTAGAACTACTGTATCATCTCTCTTCTCCACATCTCTAAGAGCTCTCTTGTGCAACTCTGATCTAGAACTACATAGAGAGAGAAAGTGCAGGAAATGTTCTTCTAGACCAGCTAAATTTTCACAGCATAAAACCATGATACTCCACCTCTTATCTCTGTGGCGTCTGTATATTCCTCTCTTAAACATATTTAACTTCCACATAAGGGCAACGGCACAATCATGCTTCTGCCTATTATTATGTAATGATCCCGTGTACAACCAAGTACACACTGAGCCTCTCCCCAAAAGAGGGCAGGGATTCTCATTATTCCTCTTTGTGCTGAACCATCTCCTCCTTCATAATTTTGAAGCTCAAATCCTGACATATGAGATGAATTGCTGTTTATACATTTTATATTATATATTTGTGAAATAGAAGAGGAACCAAACAACCCCCACCCCAAACTTGGTGTATATGCAAATAACAAAGTAAGGAGGAGAAATACAGCTGTTACAGTTCTTGTTTCTTAACTGGTCATATGGTCATAGGTGGTATTTTATAATCACCCTCTTCTGCTACCCTATGCCATACCCTTTGCCCTCAGGAAGCACATCAGCTGGTTGTTGTTTCTTTTTAGGTCACTTTAGTATTGTGCTTATAATTGGTTACTGTAATTTTGTAGAATCTTTTACTAGTAATTTTCTAATACTCATAGGGCATGGGAATTGTGAGAGATGCCCTACAGGCTCCCCTACATTCCAGACATACTCCATATTGCCATAGTTATAGTTATACTATAACTTTTCTGAGAGAAGAATTTGTTCCTAGATAACTGGAACCTCAAGACCAGTAGATCCAAGGTTTTAGCAATGAGTAGCAAAAATTAAGTGACTCACTTGAGGTAAGAGTAAGAGGAGCCACTCCAGTTTCTACCCTGCTTCCTGGGCCCATGGACGGAGGCTGTGGGAGTAGTATCATTGCTACTAATGTATAGCATGCTATACCCTGGATGATACTACTCCAGCATTTAAGGAATCACCACCCAGCTGTCACCATAATTGAGTCTTTGTAATGCCACTCCATTATTCTTTCATGCCAGCTGCTGCTTCAGGGGAATGATTAGACCAGTGAGTTCCTTGAGTATGAGCCTTTTGTTATACTTCATTTACTATAAAATGAGTTCTTTGGTCAGAGGCAGTTTGGTGTAGAATACTAAGACAATCTAAAGAGCATCCTGAATGGTGAATTTAGCAGTAGCATTTCTGGCAGGGAAGGCAAATCCGAAGGTAAGTAAATGTCTATACACTAGTGAGAACAGTGTTCCCTTTTCATCACAGAGGGTTCCACTGTAATCAGTTTGCCACCAAGCATCTGACTGTTCTTCCAGAGAATGGTGCCACAATGGAGACTCAAGGCCGGTATATGGTGTTTGCTGTATATAGAGCCAGATTGGTCTTAATGAATGGCAGTCCATGTTCCTATAACATGGGCACTTTGTTCTTGATCTTATTGTACATGTACAACCTTGGCTAGGAATGAGGCTGATGCTATCTAGATCATTTTGTCCACCTGATTAATTGGGATCTGTCTTTGTGGAAGTTATTTTTAGTGAGCATTGACTTGGGATACACTTATCTTCACACTTGATGCCCATTCAGAGAGGTCATTACCTATATACTTCTTCCCCAGACCTTGCCACCAACTTTCCAGTTTTCTTTCTTCCAAGCTCCTAACCATCCTGCTAGTCCATCAGCCAATGCCAGTGGATTACTGTGGATCTGTGCGTCTGTCACAGTAACTTGTGCACTGCCTGAAGATCTGCCAACTGGGAGAATTTTCTTTCTCTGTTCTTTAGGATCCACTGTAGAAGACTGTGATCCTTTGTTTATTCATGTTCAGATAGTGCCAGTATATCATGCACAATCTTATGTAAATAAGGCCTGCATTTTTTTCCCTTTAACCTAGTAATAAGTTTTACTTATAGGGAACTAGCTCCCCATGAGGTCACAGTTACAGATTGACAAGAAGGAAGCAAGACAGAGGAGTATAATCCACAAGTATTTGGTCCCCTTGCTCATGCCTTCACTTTGAACCTGTTTGAACTCATTTTTGTGTATTCTACTTCCATTGTAAAGCTGGAGGTCTGCCTTATGACTGATGGCTCAGATGGTTAATAAGAGACATTGTAAAATTACCTCTTATAAGATCCAGGAAGAAGCCAGAAGTTGTTTTCAAAAGGATAATAGCTGTCTGTAGTGGCAGATTGGTGTGGTGGTGTTCCTAGCACTCAGAAGGCTGGGGCAGGAGGATTGTGAGTTCAAAACCCATGTGGGCTACATAGCAAGACGCTCATTAAAAAAAAAGAAAGGAAATGGTATGGCTTTTTCCCCAAATTCTGATTGTGTTGTGACACATCTGTATGCCAGAGGTGCCCTGTACCATCCCTATCCATCACAGACTGAAGTACCTGAGTCTGCTGGATCATATGGCTCAATAGTAAGACAAGATAGAGGGGATGAATATGGTCACAGCATATTATATGCATGTATGGCTATATCACAATGAAACGTCCCACACTGTACAATTAATATATTAAAATTAAGTAAAAATGTGGGAAAAAGATTGTATTGCAGCATCGCCTCATGTTCAGGCCCTATTCAAAATGGGCAGCTTCCTGGATTACTTGGTAAACAAAATATATAATGCCTCCCAAATTCAAATAGTCTCAATAGGCTTTGTCCTCCTCCGTTTCTTAGGAATCAGAGGGGCCAGATGGGATGGGGATATTTCAGCGTGCCTCACATCCTTTGACTTGTAGCAGTTTCACTAAAGTTTCAGGCCTCTGGATTTTTGTGGATTTATTTTCCACCTCTGACTGTTGCTGCTGTTCTTGCTCAGCAGGTCAGATAAACATAGCATCAATGTAATGAACTAGGCTAATGTGTGGTAGAATGAAGACACAACCAAAGTGCTTGTAAATTAGATTGTGACATGGGGCTGCACCGATGATAGAGTTCTGATATGCTAAAGTGAATCAAGTAATCTGTTTTCATTTCAGGACATCTAGCCAGTACCAAAGATCTCTGTGGGTCAGACTGTTCTGATTACTGGTGTTGTCCACCTCCTCTTTGGTCACATTTGGAATTATCACCATTTAGCCCCCATATCATGGATTCTGTCATTCCAACTTAAGTTCATTTAGCCTACTTTGAAGGCAGTATTTCCCACTGTCATTCATGGCTCAGAGTGAACAACCATCCCAGAGCTCTTCAGGGATTTCGAGGCTCTCCACAGATGTTTCTTTCTTACAGCTTTGGTGAAGGGAGTATGTCCTTTGATCCCCCCAGAAGACAGCAAGGAGGTTACAGTCAAGCCACATGATCCTCCACTGGAGCACTCTCATCTCCCAGTCCTCTGTAGAGTACATGCAGGAAGTTCTAGCACTTCAGCTTCCTTTGGACTCCTATGTTATTCCCTCCAAATTTTGTGATGTTTATCTTGGGGCCAAGTTTCAAGCAACCAGCCAAGCAAATTGTTAGTCACTCCTAACTACAGTATCTAGCACATTTATCCACAATTTCTTAATGAGCTCTTATCCATTAAATTTAGCTCAGTTAAGTATTATATCCCATCTACACTGGTTCAGTACCCTTAGGATCTATTCCCACATATATTCCCTAGTTGTCCTGGCAAATACATCTATTGGTGTGTATTGTGACTTCTTACAGATCACACTTGTGTACTTCATCCTCTAGGATTTCCTGGATCATAAAGAACAGAGGAAGCGAGGGTAGATCCTTAGGATTTGCAATCCCTTACAAGGCAACAAGGGGTATGGAAATAGTTTGTTTTAAAGGAATTTCAGGCAAAAGGAGGTTGTTTTTGAGAGGGGAGGCAAGGGAAAGGAGACTTGGTAGAATTTAGTGATTCAAGTTCCTGGTTTCATTGGAATCTTCTCTCACGATTCCACCCTAATTTTTACCATACTCCTTCCCAATCTCTGCCCTCACTTTGGCAATCTTTGCAAGATTGGAAATTCAGTTTACATTGTAGTTTAGCCACCTATAGGGTTTAGACTTATGATTGGTTTGCAGAAATGAAAGTTAGGTATTTTTTTACATTTTATTGAAGGGGCAATTGAGGTACAGGTAACTGTCTTGCCTGAGATCACTTAGCAGGTAAGAGGAAGGAGGATCTGAGGTTGAATTCAGGTCTGCGTGACTTCAAAACATGTGACCTTAACCACTAAGCGATGCTACTTGAAGTTTGTCTATAATTGACATAGTGAGATACATTTAAAAATCAATATGGAAATCTAAAATTGTAATCAAGTCCGTATGGTCATTGTTTCCCCTTGTACCCAATAGCTCTAACTGAGGAGCTGGATTCTGTAACCAACGAGCTACATGCAGTGGAAATTCAAATCCAAGAACTTACAGAAAGGCAACAAGAGCTCCTTCAGAAAAAATCAGTCCTAACAAAGAAAATACAGCAGTGTTTAGAGGATTCTGATGCCGGGGCGAGCAATGAATGTGATTCTTCACCTGCTGCTTGGAATAAAGAGGGTTTGCCTTTTCTTTTTTCTTTTCTAGCTTAGAAGTGAAACTCCTTCCTTAGGGGGATGGAAATTGTAGGCAACCCTTCTTTACCCATGTTCTGTAATCTTTTAAGTTAAGCTTTTATTCAGACTATTTTTTCTAATACAGTTTTTGCAACTTCAGTCAGTGCTTGGAAAATAAGATATTTACTTCAACTAAAATTTTCTAAGTTTTAACTAAAAAAATTAAAAATTTGCTTTTTGTCAAAATCCAGTGAAGAAGCCATTCTTGATTCAAATAGTGAATGAAGTCTCACGTTTATCATTTATTGTAATCGAATATTATAACTCTAGTTATAAATTTTGTGGAGATTATTTCCGCAAAATATTTACACTAGAAACTTCAGATAATTGTTAACTTTGCTCATGATATTTGGGTGGTTAGGATAGTGTGAATTCTTTGGTCAGCATTCAGACTATTCTTCAAATACCTGATGGCACCTTCCTCTTCGATGTGGGTTAATTCTCAACTGCCAAATGTTTATATGTTTCTGATGTACTGATCACATTTCAGTTCATTGGTCTTTGCTTCACTTAGCTTAGTGAGTTATACCAATCTCAAAATAATTATAAAAGCATAGTGGCTCTTAAGTATTTAAAGTTTTATGTATGTCTTGATTCTTGGATATCATAAAAGCATCGCTTATGTTGCTGTCTCATTGTAATCCTGATCATTCTTATTTTTCTCTTTTTAGATTTCCCATGGTCTGGCAAGGTTAAAGATGTTCTGCAAAATGTCTTTAAGCTGCAGAAGTTCAGACCACTTCAACTTGAAACTATTAATGTTACAATGGCAGGAAAGGAGGTGTTTCTTGTTATGCCCACAGGGGGTGGCAAGAGCTTATGCTACCAGTTACCAGCACTATGTTCAGAAGGTATGTATAAATGATAGTGACTTTTAACTGGAGATATTTTAATTCTTCTAAAACAATTTGTAATCAAACATGTAAAATCAACTGCATTTCTGTTTTATTTCTGTTAATAGTGGTTGTTCACTGAAATAGGTTACACTAGATAAAGAATTTGTTTGGGGATGGAAAGAGAGGGAAGATGATGAGTTCAAATATGGCTAGATGGAATTTATAATTCTTAGATAACATCTGGGTAGAACTGTCCTGTGAGTGGAAGGGTATTTCAGTCTAAAGATTGGATTAGATGATGTGGGCTGTTACAGAGGAGATGGCCACTGCAGCCAGTGTGTGAACTGTATTTGCCAGCACAGCATGAAGAGAGAAGAGGGCCAGGGACAGAAACCCAAGGGGTTAGGGAAAAGCAGAGAAAGAGAGGTTGCAGGGAAGGGCTGAGAAGGAGTGGCCAAGAGAAGGAGGGCTATCAGGAGAGTGTAAATGAAGGAGGGCGTGATCAATAATGATGTTTGTTGGCAAATGGTAAAATAAAATAACTTAAAATTTCTGTTCTGTTTAGTAATGAGGGCCTATCTTTGACCTTGGCTGGAACAATTTCAGCAAGAAGGTTGATGGGAACCAAATGGCAATGATTTGAAAATGAGCAGGATTGAGGAGGTGGAGCTGCTAGAGTGAGATACTCTTTGGAAAAGAATGGTTCTGAAGGAAAGAAGAACACCATAAATTATTGTCTTGGTCTGTTTTGGCAGTTACAATGAAATACCTTAGACTGGGTAGTTTATATTTTAAATAATGGAAGTTTATTGCTTGCAGTTAATGGAGGCTGCAAGGTGACAGCAGATGTGGTGTCTAGTGAAGGCCTGTTCCTCTTATATGGCAGCTTCTTGCTCCTTCTCACATGGGAGAAGGAGAAGAGGCATCCCCTTCAACACCTTTTATAAGGGCACTAATCTCATTTGTCCTCTCATCTTACAAGGGCTGTCCCTGCCTGACTTAATCACTTCCCAAATGGCTATTCTGTTTTTCTCTTTAGGTTTTACACTTGTGATTTGCCCATTGATCTCTCTTATGGAAGACCAATTAATGGTTTTAAAACAACTAGGAATTTCAGCTACCATGTTAAATGCTTCTAGTTCTAAGGTACGCTTCTGTGGCTATTTTTTTTTTTAAGTTAAAATGCTTTGGGGACCAGGCACTAGAGAAAAGGTTAGATCAAGAAGAATTAACCTAGAAGGTAACACACACGCACAAGAAATCAATGTGAGTCAACTCCCTGTATAGCTATCCTTATCTCAACCAGCAAAAACCCTTGGTCCTTCCTATTATTGCTTATACTCTCTCTACAAAAAATTAGAGATAAGGGCAAAATAGTTTCTGCTGGGTAATGAGGGGGTTGGGGGGAGAGGAAGGGGGCGGGGGGAGGGGGTAAGGGAAGGGGTGAGGGAAAGGGGGAGAAATGACCCAAACATTGTATGCACATGTGAATAAAAAAAAAAATTAAAATGCTTCACTGAAATAGGAGTCTTGGCTGCAGTTGAATTGTCTATGGAAATATAAACTATTAACTCTAAACGGGGTTGCAAGCTATGCTCATGGACCAGTTCTGGTTCACTGTCTGTTTTTATATGTCCCATGAGCTAAAGATGGCTTTTATATTTTTAAATGGTGAAAAAGAAGTAAAAAAACCATATTTTATAAAATGTGAAATTATATAAAATTGAAATTTCATTGTCCTTAGTTTTATTGGAACAGAGCTATGCTTATTAACTTACATATTGTGTATGGTGCTTTCAGTCTATATGGCAAACTTGGGTAGTGAGAGCAAATGTAAGCCTACAAAACATAATGTGTACTATCTGGCACATTACAGGAAACATTTTCTGACAAGTTTTGTGTGACTTATTTTAATAGTAAATAGCAGTTTCTAACTACGAAATCTAATAAATACTGGAAATGAATTACTAAGAAGACACTCTATACTGGTAGAACTTCTTTTGTTTGGGAATGAGCTATCTTACCCTCATCTGTACAATGTTTCCCAGGTATTTTTTTAAAATAGGAAAAAGAACACAAAACCTATTTCATGCCTACAGCATGGGTGCATTAGACTCCATATCCCAGCTATTCTTTTTTTAAAAAGCATGCTGTTGAAATCTTCAAAAGTATACAGAAGTGGGAAGAATAGTATAAAAATGACACGTACCCATCAACAGTTGTATGGCCAGTTTTTTTCCATCCATATCTCCCCAGTTTCCCTACCCACTTCCCCTTGATTTATTTGTGTAAAACAAAACCCATGTCTGATACTTTAATTGAAAATATTTCAGTATGTATCTCGAACTTTAAAAAAAGCCCTAAGTGTGATGCTGCCCTCACTATATCTAAACCATTTAATATTAGTTCCTTAATATCAATTCAGCTTTCTCCATCTCATTATTTATTATGCTTTTTTGGATAAGCATGCATTGTATTGCATTTGGTTGACACATCCATAGGTCCCCTTATTCCTTTTTTTGTTTCCTCCCTCATTACTTGTTGAAGAAACCCAAGTTAATTTGCCTATAGCTTTCTGCAGTCTGGATTTTCCTGATTATATCCTTGTGAAGTCATTTAACTTGTTCCTTTTAGTTCGATTTAAAAACTTGATTATATTTGAATATATTTATATTTTCCCCTCCAAAGTTGTATTCCTCCTGTGGTATCACTCAGGAGGTTCATAATTCCGGGTTATCTGTTGTGGTGTTAACTTTGATCAGTTAAGTAATGAAGGTGATGTCTACCTACCTGGTATCAGCTTCTTTCCTAATGGTTTTAGCAGCCACTGATGATTCCTGCCAGCCTTAGAGTCATTATTTCATTTGGGAGGTAAGCAATGGTAATTTTTTTTTTTTTTGTGGTACTGGGGTTTGAACTCAGGGCCTACACCTTGAGTGTAGTACACCTACTCTACCAGCAATTATTTTTTGTTATGGTTTTATTTGAGATAGGGTCTCGTGAACTATTTGCTGGGGCTGGCTTCAAACCGCAGTCCTCCTGATCTCTTGCCTCCTGAGTAGCTAGGATTATAGTTGTGGGCAACCAGTGTCTGGCCAACAATGGTAATTTTTAATTCTACCACTCCTTTTTATATTAGCATATACTTTTCTATAAAGAAAAACTTTTCCCTTATTAACTTTTTGCAGGATAAAAATGCTTAGTTCTTCTCTTTTCTTTACCATTTTCAGAGATGGTTTTCTAGCATTATCCAAAACTGTTCAATAAGTCTTTTTGTTTTTCTCAAGTCTCATCATAATCCTATGGATTTCTGACACATTTGATATATTTTAATACATTATTATAAATTTTTGTGCTGAAATACTCTCAACTTTGGTAGTGAGAGCCTCTTTCATTTGGCTTCTGAATCATTGTCTTTGATCCCATAGACTTTGACATCTCAAGTGCTAAATCTGATATAAACTATAAAATATTAGAGCATTGAGATCCTAATAATTGTTACCTTTTAACAAGGTATTTGCTATTAAAAACTTTAATTTGATAAATGATACTCTATAAAGCCCCATGGTTTTTGTATTTAAATAGTGATTATAAGTATATTTGATAGAATCATTAAAATAGCTAATCAAGAATAAACTTTGTTCCCAGATATAGAAATCGATGACAAACATAATGTTAGACATAATAAAATCATAGCTATACAACCATCCATAGCTATTTAGCTAGTACATTTGGTTTATATTTTAGAATTTATTGTGAACAATTTATAGTTATGCCTTCACAGAATAAATTGTCTTTATTGGAGAATTTTTTCATGTTCACTTTTTTGTCATT